GGCAATCTAAGATTTGGTGAGATTTCAATTTCAAAATGTCATCCGATAAAAAAAAGTAATAGAAAATATGGGATTTAGATTCTCCAAATTTTTGATGGGATTTTCTTAAATTGTTAAAATCCCATCAAGATCAATAAGATATGATGGGATTAATTAGGACTTGAAAAAAATTTATTTTAAAAAAAGTTCTGAAGAACTAATTGTTCTAATAAAACCCCAAAGACATTTCAATTATTTCCAATGAAGCCCTAAAGAACAATCATAAATTATTGAAAACTTTTTTGGGATAATTTTCAAATTAAATTATTTTCTATCATAATAAAATTTTAAAATCTTAATATTTTGGAGCCTGAGAATTTTTTTTATTTCAGAGTGAATAACTGTTACCAATTTTGACCTAAATATTATTTATGCTTTCTTATTTCTTTTATCCCTCTTTTTTTTATTTATCTATCAAAATAAAAATTATCTAAAAACAAAAATTTTGAGAATTTTATTAATTTTTTAAAGAAGAATTTAGAAATAATTAATTTCTAAATGTCTCAAAACAAAAGAAATTATGAAAGATGCACATAAAATGTTTTTGCTAACTAAATCCAACACTGCCATCCTCTTTGTAGCAAATTTTCGGGGTTCTGTAAATTTATTTATTGCCTTATTTTTTTTATAACAAATTTATAAGAATCGCATACTAATTTATTTTTTTTATTAATTTTTGAATTCCCCATAAAATGAAATTTTTAGATTTCAAAGTGCCACCAATAATGATCTAAATATTATTTACGCTTTCTTATTCGTTTTATCCCAATTCTTTATTCATTTTTCTATCAAAATAAAAATTTTCAAACTCCAAAATATTAAGATTTTATTTTTTATATGATTTGTTTATTTTAATAGAAATAATTTCATCAGAAAACTACCCCCAAAAAAAAATTTTCAAAAATCTGTGATTGTAATTTAGAGCCTTATTGGAAATAATTGAAATGTCTATGGGTTTTATTACAAATAATTAACTCTTTAGGACTTTATTACAATTATAATAAAAATTAACTAAAAGAACTTGAGAATCCACTTCCCACAATCCAAATTACATTAAAAAAGAACTGAGAAATCAGTTCCAGCAAAATCAACTTCTTATTTTTTTATTGTTCTCAATTTTTTAATAAAAAATAAAATTTAGAATATGTTGGGAAGTCAATTTCCAAGAAACTAACAATCCAATTATTTTACAAAGGAGAAAAAAAACATGCTAGGGAGGCAGTTCCACTGGAATCAACTTCTTAATTATTTAGAAAATTAAAAATATATATATATTGAGAACTTGGATCCGTCTGAATTGATTTATTAGTTATAAAGAAAATGTAAAAAAAAAAAAAAACTGTTAGGGACTGACTTCCTAATTATTTAAAAAAATGTTGAGAAGTTAATTGTAATAAATATTTTTGGAAGTCAATTTCGAGATTTGACTTCCAATAACTCAAAAAAAAAATCATATTTTGATAAATATTTTTAAGCAAGAATTGATATATTATAAAGTATATCAGATAAGAAGTGAAAAGAAAAGTGGATCTTTAAGGTAGCCGGAGGAAATCATCCATTATCAAGAGGATTCAATGCTCTCAGCCCACCAATTATCAGCGAGGGAGGAGATGCGGTGTCATTTCAGTTCTTGATTGGAAAGGCCGCAGAAGCATCTATTCTTCGTGGACTAATCCTAATGGATTTGGAGTTTAGGAGGAGAGAGCTGAACTTCCGGAAGCTAGAAACTTTAATTTTTTTTCTTTTTTAATTCTTCTTTTGGTTGCTTCAAATTGGTAGGTCTTTGAGATCTTTTGTTTTTGTCTTAGATGCTCCTTCTCTAGATAATTAGACATATATAGGCACTCAAGAAGAGATTGGAGACCAGAAGACCGCCGGTGTATGTAAATTTTGGTGTCATGTAGAACCATTTATTTCTTCAATATGATTCTTGGCAAAACCTAAGGAGGAAAGATCTGTATGTGAAGATGGTGATGTCATTACCAAGGCATTTGGGAGGAAAATTTCAAAATCATCCCTCAATTTTTAATATATCAATAAAAGCATTCTTTAATTTTAGAATTTTAGGAATAATTTTGTAATGTAAATGAAATGTGAGGGATGATTTTAAAATTCTCCCAAGCATTTAATACATAATTTGGAGATTTAAAGCTCCTTGATATTTTTATATTTTTATTTAATAAATAACTTATATATGTATGTGTGTGCATAGAACAATTGATAACAATATAAGTATAAAATACTTATATTAAATCTTACATTATTTATTTAATTATATTCAATAGATAAAATTACTTATAATTATTTTTTTAAAACATTGGTTGCAACTTTCTCTCTCTCTTAAAATATTAATTATAATTATTTCTTTTTTTAAATATTAATTAAGTTCATATATTAAATTTGATTAAATTAATAGTATAATATTTAACATAAATATTTTACATTTAAACTAATTCTAATTGATGTATACTCATTTGATTAATGTAACTAGAATATTTGACCTAGACTAAGATACTCTGTATTAAGTTTTAGATGACATTCATATAACTATACTGGTAAATTCCCAGCTAAAGACCTTAACCCGTCTTGACGGGAGCTTTTATTAATTTGAGGGAGGAAGATACCGTGAAACTTATTCATTGGAGAGATCGAGTTCTAACTTTTTGACTTGCCGAAAGAGACATTGTTTCTAGAGATGTCTAAATATAATTTAAATTGCTCTGATTTTAATTTAATTCATAAGTTATCATGTTAATTTAAGTGAAATAAAATAAAATTAGATTAGATTAGGCTTAAGTAGGTTCTTTTTATTAATTTTACTTGTTCAGAGGACGACCCAGTTGGGTGGCTGACCTGATAATAGACTCAAAGGCGATGGACAGTTTCAATTCCAAGTCTGAAGGGGTGGAGGAAGAGCCGGAAAAAGTCCACTCCCCGTGGATACGGACGACTCAGATCTGCTCGTTTCATCCAGGTGATGCCAATTTGGAGAGAACTCACAAGTCAGATGCCGACAACTGTCCTTTCCGACGACTTCTCTTCCCCCCTTCTATTATTGGGCCCATCATTTCTCACAAGTCACGACACCTCGTCTCGTTTTCTTACTCCTGCGGGGGCTTTTTTGGCTTTTCCTTTTAAAAATCAAACATGCCGCCTGAGGGGTATTTTTGTAAGTCTATAAAATGAGTAGTGCTTTGTTTCCTGGTCCGTTTGACAAATTGAATTAGTTAAAATTGTATAGAGCAGGTAGTTAAATAAAATATCTGATCGTATAATAATTTGTATAATTATTTTATTTAATAGAGATGATAGAAGTGATGACTAGTAATAGTAGTAAAAATAGTATTATTCAAATAAGTTGAGTAAGGGTAATATAAAATTATCTTACTCCTCCTCCTAATATAGTTTATCCAGATTTGACTTTACTATTATTCAATATCTCTTGTCCGAATTTTATCTGATCCTACTTTATCCGACTTATCAAACATGAATCCGGATATGATAAGAGTAAATAAATTATCTTTATCTATCCTTATCTACTATACCAAACCTATGTTGTAAGCTTCTCCGAGCGGCATTTTTGTAAGTCCGTGAAAATGGAAGTATTGTTTTCTTATTTTGGGCTGCAAATGTAATGTAATTTACCGAGAGCAATGTACTACTTCTATCACATCCATCCACCCAACATGCTGCCTGCTCTGGTCACAGGCAGAAGACAAGTTCCAGCTAATGAATGTCAAGCTCATTCCCAAATGCCTTTTTTATCCAGATTATTAGGAATTTATTAGCAGTTCTGAAGCTCATCCATGTAATGTAAGCAAAGGAAAGGAGGTGGACCAATAATGATGATGGTTTTATTTTAATCTTATTATGATAGAGATATCTCTTAGCTAGCCTGGATGTTGAGGATAAAATTTTCTTAAAATTAAATCACAGAAGAGCACCCACCAATCATGGAAAGAGAGACTTGTGGAGCTACATTAGATAATGGAGGGCTACCACAGATTGTTCTAGCATAGCATTCATGATATCCTTCAGAGATTCGTTTCCATGTACTTAAATTTATTAATTGCAAGTGCTCCATTCCCAAATATTCCATTCCCCTGCTGCCACAGGATTTTCAGGGTTTTGGGTTTTCTTTCCAATGTTTCCTTGTCTTTCTTGTTAGCTCCCACTTCATTATCAGCTCTACCATTTTCAGTTTGATTCGAGGAAGACAAACCCAGTTAATAACATTATCAATATAAATTAAAATGATGCCACATGTGCCTAAGGACATCTCCGTTTACCAATTTCAACAATACATCTTCTAGTTTTATAACACTGTTGTGTTGATTTCATCAGCACAGTAGTAGCTAAACCAGCCAACAGGATTTTTCGCCATGTGGTTACAAAACCCTAGTTCGCAGGGCTAGCAGAGGAAACCTATAAATAAATATTAAATATGTTTTTGGCTTTTTATTTTTTTCGAACGTACGCCTGTCATAAAACTTTCCGAGATGGACATCAAATGCCCCGTCTCTCACGCGCATTTACTGACTGCTATCACCTCTTCAAGTCATTCAAGCCCTTCACACCAGATTGGCGCGTGAACTCATTCACCTTTCAAATCTCCATTCCCTCTTTTTCTGAAAGCAATACCTTCCACCCCTCTTCCCCTCAAAAATCCTCTCTCTTGATTTCAGAAGTCCTTTTTTCCCCTCTGCCATCATCTCTCTCATCCTCTGTTTCTTTCTCTCTCTACAGCAAAGGTTCAGACGCCTGGTCGGATTGGTTTCCAGAAGAAATCTATTATCATACCTTGTGAAGGGGGAGTATAAAAAATGATTGTGCAGCCCCAATAAATGACGTATTGTTGCTAAATCAATGCAAAACCGCGCAGAATTTAGCTAATTCGGGATTGTGTTTTTTTTTTCTCTTGGTTGGAGGAGAGAGAAACATACAGACAAAAGCGCCGAGTTATGAGGGCGAATCAACCACCGCCGCTCACCTCCTCCTCCGCTGTCGCCGGCGAACGGAATCGACATCGCCGGCGGCCCGACCTCTCCCTGCCTCTCCCTCAACGCGATACGTCGAAGGCCGTGCCTCTCCCACTTCCTCCTGGCTCGGCTCCGGCGGCGTCGTCGAGCTCGTCGCCGCCGGTGACCTTCTCCGACCTTCATCGCTTGAACCGCATCGGCAGCGGCGCCGGCGGCACTGTCTATAAGGTTCTCCACCGCCCGACGCAGAGGCTCTACGCCCTCAAAGTGATTTACGGTCACCACGAGGAGATTGTTCGCCGCCAGATCTATCGCGAGATCGAGATCCTCCGAGACGTGGACAACCCTAACGTGGTCAAGTGCCACGACATGTTCGACCACGCCGGCGAGATCCAGGTCCTCCTGGAATACATGGATGGTGGATCCCTTGAAGGCACCTCTATCCACCATGAACCTTCCCTCGCACACATCTCTCGCCAGGTCCTCTCTGGCCTCTACTACCTCCACAAGCGAAAAATTGTGCACAGGGACATTAAACCTTCGAACCTTCTAATCAACTCAAAGAAACAGGTGAAAATCGCGGATTTCGGTGTGTCAAGAATCCTCGCGCAAACGATGGATCCTTGCAATTCAGCTGTGGGGACGATTGCATACATGAGCCCAGAGAGGATAAACACGGATTTGAATCAGGGGATGTATGATGGTTACGCTGGAGATATTTGGAGCTTAGGAGTGAGCATTCTGGAGTTCTATTTGGGAAGATTTCCTTTTGCTGTGGAGAGACAGGGGGATTGGGCGAGCTTGATGTGCGCAATCTGCATGTCGAAGCCGCCAGAGGCGCCGCCAGCGGCGTCGCTAGAGTTCAGGAATTTCATCGCCTGTTGTTTGCAGAGGGATCCGGCCAGAAGGTGGACCGCCAGACAATTGCTCGACCACCCTTTCATTCTCCAAAGCTCTGGCGCCGGGGCCGCTGCCGCCAACCACGGCAATCAGGTTCCTCAGGCTCGCCAACTAATGCCTCCACCCCGTTCGAATTTTTCTTCTCCTTGATTTTCTTTTTCCTTCCTTTTTTTGGATTTTATTTAATGTGTAATTTTACATCATGGTGGGAACTGGGAACTGGGAACTCGAAGGCTATGGCTTCGAAAGAAGGGAAATTGAGGTTGTCTGTTACTTTGAGGTTCCAATCAATCAATCTTGTCTTTCGATAATATTCACAGCAAAGGAAAATCTGTCATTCAATATCACAACTTTCTAATTGTTGTTTTTTATTAAAAAAAAATTTGAAGTTTTAATGAGAAATTTCCAGAATGAATTCGGGATTTGGATTCCCGTTCTTTCAATTATCAAACTGCACTCTCTCTTCCATTAACCCGTTTTTCTGTTAAGTCAATTTTCAAACCGTGGGTTATTTTTGTTTAACAGAATCAAACGTTGGATTGACTTTGGAATGTCAAAGCAATCCACTAAGAAAGAAGTAAATTGTGTGAGGATAGGGGAACTTATTATTTCCTCTCCTGGAAACCTTGTCCTTTGACTCCGATGATGCAAGTTGATGTATGATTTTTCATTCCTCGCCGATATTTTTAGTTGATCGAGTGAAAAGTGATGCATTCTGTCTAACTATGAAGTGCCCACTTCCAAATCCAATCCAACGGAGAAAATATATGCTTTTATCATTTATTTTTTCCTTTGTTGGAAGGACAATGCGTGTGAATTGCCAAGCATTTCTCCAGCTAGTAGTATCCTACTTTCTGAGGTCCACCGTTGTCCAACTTATTAAGCATATTCAGCACTGAGAAAGATTGGGTAATTTAGATTGCAAGTAGCAGCAGCCTGTAATCTTTTCAGCCGACTTCAGTTATTCCCTTTCTGCATAAATAAGCTGCGGTCCTTCACCGCGTAAGGCTGGCCGGTTGGGTAGCAAAAATGACCGTCTTGGGAACGTTTTGCTCGGTTCTAGTTTTTCGTATACGTGAAAAAAGGATTTTATTTATTTTAAAATTAAAATTTCAATTTTGAGTTTGAAAAATGCAAAATAAAAAGTGAAGGAGCCCATCACGAGAGCACCCCCAGCACCTACCTAATGCAATTGAATTTTTGAGTTGGTTTTACGTGTGATTTGTGTTTGGCGGATACGAAATCATGATTCATGAGGGATGACGAACTCGCTATCAATACATATAAACAATGCAACAATACGTTTTACAGCTCTCGGCCCACTGGTTTTGGGTCAATGTCAAAGTAAACCAAGCAAAAACTCCCCCAACAAACGTCCACATTCGTCCTCCTATCAAATCTTCGGCCGCACACCTTCAATTAAATTGTATAAAGTCTCCTCTCTCTCTCTCTCTCTCTCCAGAGGAAAAAAAAAAGACATTCACACACGATTTTCGTTTGAATCATTCACATTTGATAATTGGTTAAGATAAGTGGTTCTGAATTTGTGTGATAAAAACTTACGTTGCTTGTAAAAAAATAATGACTTCCTTATTTTTTTAATATTTTCAAAAATAGAATGTAAAATAGGTAATTTACAAAAAATAATACAGGATACTTTAATAATTTATTAAAGTTCAAAAACTAGTGTATCTCAAACTTGCATTTCTAAAATTACCTATTGAATATACAATATATATATATATATATATATATATATATAAAGTGTCCCTTTTTCATGCGGCAAATTTGGGTGGGCTAAGAGGGCGTTGGGTTAGGCCCTCTGGGTGGAGCTTTCGTATTTCTCCAGTATCGTCCATTTTTAAACGGAGAGATCGAGATGATTTTGTATACGAGGTCAACGTGAACGTCTTTGGATTATCATAGACTGCAGCAACTGGATACATTTTCTTGCCGTTTTATATTCGCTATTGGATGGGACGTGACTTGATATGATATCAATCTTGTAAATCATGGGCGGGGACGGGACGTGTAATATTGGGCTTGTTCTTTGGGCTCTCTTTTGTCTCATTCAATTCCATGTTCCAAACCAAGTTCCATGGCCAGCCCCAGGTCCAGACTGCCAAGCTTGGGTCAGAATGTTGAATTCCAATCGCTCAGGACCAAGCAATTCTTAATTTCTTATCTCTTACTTCAATCCAAGTCAACCCTGCAAAACCTCTTTAGGTTTCATTTGACAAAATCTACTAATTTTTTTCTCTTTTTTTTTTCTCAGGAAAGAAGCAAATGAAGGAAAGAAGCAAATGAAATGTCTAAATAACTAGCTAGCATAATTAAAATATGGGTCAATTAAACTAATGTTCACTCAACTTGGCACTTAATTTCACCTTGGTCACCTCCAACTTCAATTTGTTTCAATTGAATATTCAACTTATATATAGGTGCCAACATAAAATCAAAAATATTTAAATAAATTTTAAATTAATAAATAATATAAAAAAAAACTAATCATCTCCTCTAAAATTACTTGTTGTCTTCCTTGACGGACGGTTGACCTTCCACTTTTCCTTCTCTCATAGTTCTATAATTTCTATACTATTTCTTTATTCATCACCAAACTCTAACCCAATTGATGTTAGTATCTTCATCTTATATCCATATACGCAATACATACATACATATATACGTACATAAAACAGTATCACTTGTTTAAGAAAATAGAATTTTTATATTTGAGGATGGAAAGAAGTGATTACTTCTCCATTTTTTACAAAATTTACTTCTTATATTTTGTGAGTTACTAAATTTATATTTCTCTCTCTACAAGTGATTTTAAAACTCAGAACAGCATTTTCACCCCTGTAAGTATTCACAAAGCAAATACGATCACAAGTTAACCCAAAAAAAAAAAAAAAAAAAAGAGATACTGCACACTCTCGTAAATCTTAAAAAGAAAGATCCATAAAGGACTAATCCCGGCCAATTGAATGGCATCAGATGAATTTATAAACCTAACAATAACTGAAATGCATTCACTAAATAAATAAATAAATAAAATACGAGACTCACTAAAGATGATACAGTGTTTGTGAATTTGGTTTTTGGTACCAGAGAATGTGTCCAACTCTTGATTCCTTCTCCTGTAACATTTGACTAATTTAGACTTCCGAAATAGAATAAATAAATGAGGCCCACATTCACAAGTAGATAATCTTTGTTTGATAATATCCACGTAGGGTAGGATGGCGATGATTCAACTACCAATATAATAATAAAAAAACACCTTATCAATTAATGATCTCAAGTTTCTGTTGGCTGTACCACTTGTCAACGGGGGTTGGGAATGGGGCCTGGGGTGGCGAGGAGATGGTGACAGGAACGGTAAACATGCGTCACTGCTGTAATTAGCCCTAAAAATTTAATTTTACTTTATCTCAACCATCGTACTATTTAATACATACAAATTTTGAAGATCAGGCAAAATTTTAATTATCCAAAGACCAACAAATATTTGATATAAGCATTACAATAATTTTAGCATTTAAATATTAGTAATCATATTTAATTTTAAATTTATTAATTTATAGTTATTTTTATTTTATTTTTAAAATATTAATTAATTTTATTTATTAATTTTAACTAAAATTATGATATAAAATTTGATGGAAGGGTATTAATTGATGTTTTCTCACATTTGATACAAGCATTACAATGGTTTTAGCATTTAAACATTAGTAATCACGTTTAATTCCAAAATTAAAGAAAATATCTTCCCAATCTCAAAGTACACAAAACAGGAGAGGAGATGACGAGGTCGGATTAGCAATAATTGAGTGGGACACGTGTAGCGCAACTAGGGGGGTCATGTCTCCACAGAAAGTAAATTGACGTTTGATCCTTTTCTTTTTATTTCGGGGAAAGGCCGAAGCAGGGAACCCGACTCTAGTTCTGTCGTTAATATACAAAACATAGTTCTTGTTTGGATTTCACAGACCTGACCTTGGCCATCATGTTACCAATTGCTCCCTCCCCCAAACATTCCCTGTCCTCTGAATATCTAATTAAGATTTGAACCAAATCAAGCGAGTAACTTATTAGGGTCTAAGCGCTGCTTCTAAGGAGCTTCACCCCTGCACATTGCCGGCTAAAAGCCATCTCTGCGATCTGTCCAAAACAAATCTCAATATCTCAATCGTCACTCTGGCGGACTTTCCACCTTCATCTTTCTGCATTCGATCTCTCGTTCTCTCTCAGTGTTGTCAAATGCGTGCATCTGAAGTTAGTGTATTATACTCGAACGTCTGTTTGCATCTGGCCTGATATTTAATCGGCGGGCCAGACGGGCGTTGAGTTCTTTCGGATTGAACGAGTGAGTCCTGGTAATTGGAGTTGTTGGCTTTCGGTGCTGGCTTCCTGATTTCTCCGTCTTCTTTCACCGAGTAATAACTTGTAAATTTCATGTATTGTTTGCTATTGATTTGCATTTGTGTTGGTTCAGTTGGACCTAGATTGTTTAATTTGTAACTATCAATCTGCGCTGATATGTTATAGTTAGGCTTAGCCTGATGTTATTCGCTGCTTAATTAATTGATTTTCTTTTTAAGGTGAGTTGAGTTGATCTAGCATTGCCTCCAAGGTGATTATTTGCTCGATTGTTGCGTGCTTGCTCTCTTTTTTCTGGTTAAGCTGCTATATATACCTTTTTTAGTTTCACTTAACAAAACAATTGGGATTATTTTAACGATGTATCAGAATATTTGGTACGGTGGAGTCATATAAGATGGAATGGTGTGTATGTGAGAATAGGAACTGGAAAGGAGGGGAATGGAGGACTCATTCTATACTTCCTTCTATCTGGTCAGCACGGTGGTGTGGGATAGAATAGAAAGGATAGTGGCTTTTTTAACTGAAGAGAAAACAAAAGAACGGATTATGATTTTCCATCATTATTGGTTGGATAATTGGATAGTAATTGAGAAGATGTTAGGGACACGTCTGTCAAATAATTTTCTTTTTCTTCTTTTTCATATGTATGATTGGATGATTTTGGTATTATAAAGTTTAAAGTAAAGAACAATCGCATTTTTAGTCCAAAACTCTTCCACGTTTGAGGGATTCAAAATGGGGGTCACAAGGGCTTTGGAATTCCCTCTTTTATGAAATCTGGTCCAAGCAAGTCACCTGGAATGAAAGAGTTTTGTGTTTTTCCTTTCTATCCAAATCAGTCAGTCCAAATAAGCTGGCATTTAGTATGATTAATTAAGACAGGCAAAATCAGATGCAACATGAAAATGAAAGTTGTGTGCGCTGTGTGTGTGTGTCTATATATATATGCCAAGTTCATATGTACACAGAGAGGGGTTGAAACATAAAGAGAGATGCAAAGGTAGTTGGAAGACTTTCTTGGGACAGAATATATATATATATATATATATGACATAAACTTGTGGAGTATAACAATTGACTAACATATTCTAAAGAGCCTCTTTATTTCTAGAAAAGTCACAGGGGAAGATATTAATCTACAATGCTATGCTTAACTTATCCTTGTGGTTTTTTTTGTAGTCTGTTCAGCAATGACCAACACAAAACAATCCTCAGTCATTATTATTGGACATAAAGCTGGAATGGTACAGGCATGAATTGGGACCCTGTTCTTTCCCCGCCTAAATACATATATGTCTTGTTGGAATAAAGCATACAATTGTTTAATAACAGTGGAATCAATGGGACTTTCACTTCTGCAGGGATGGACTTGATTTTCTATGTTTCGGATATATAATACAAGCCATTTATGTGTTATATTGACTCTAGCATGCCATCTCTATATTTGATACATTTATGTGGTTGCATTTTAGTAATTTTTACATATTCCCTTGTGTGGGTTTGGGGTAGGGTGATATTCGGGTTCAAAGACAGGGACATAAGTTATTTGGTTAGTAAAATTTGCTTTCCGATCAAAGGGTGTGTTTAAGATGGCATCTTGTTTTTAGAAACTTGTTATGATCGCTCACGTGGAAATGGTTGTGTTTTCTTCTTTTTTGTCTGAAATTATTTGGAACAGAAATAAATCGTTTAATTCACAAAAAGTAAAATCTAAATCATCACATGCATTTTTAGTGAGCATTACTGTTTCAAGTTAATTTACAAGTCTATTCTGTTTTTATGTAGGTTCTGACTTCTATATAATTGGATGCATAATTGTCATAAGTGCTGCCTTGAGCTTGTTTTGCTTTCTTGGACTTGATCAGTGAGATTATCAGCGTCTGCAGATGGGGCACGTAGAGGAAAACTTAGACCTTGATTCTGAGGAAATCCCGTTAAGCTTGTCAGTGTCACAATCTGCAAGTAAAGTGCATACTTTTGATTTTGAGGAATCTCAAATAGGATCACATGCAAAGCTTCCAAATATTTGGGTCTTTAAGAAAGTGCAAATGAGTCCTCTCCGGAGTATTTATGTTGTCCTACTTACAGCCAAGATTAACATGTTACTTCCTTTTGGGCCCCTGGCAATATTTCTGCACTATGTTGCAAGACAGCACGTAAGTATGGTTATTCAGTATTATTTTCTTGTTTGCTTGAGTCTACAGATATGAACAGTAGTGAGAAAAAAACATAGAATCACTATGATGATATCATTTAAACACTGTCATTCCTTTGGACCTGTTTGGATTGGGTATGTTGTTGGCTATTGATCTGTTCCTAAACATCAGAAATCTCACCTCCGGGTACACAAGGAAAAGGGCTGATTTTATTTGCTAAATATTGTGTTAACTATAGAAGAGTTTTACAAGCTAACGTGTATCCTTTTTATGCATGTAGTTGAATTTTATGGAAACTTTATTATAAATTTTACTTCTTAAACATTTTTTTTTTTAAATATATTTTGTATTAGGTGCTTGTGCAACAGTTGGAAGCATATCCTTGTCCTATTATGCAAATCCTATGTCACACAAATTTATAGGAATCCATTTAGTGTATCTTTGGGCAGATTAGCAAGCTCATGAGATAGTTTGTCACTATGTTGATTGTTTGGATACCCAAATAATTAAGTTCATGATTTTGTGATTCATAATTCCTTTACGTTTTTTCTTTTCTTTTTCCTTTTTAGTAGTTCGATGTTAGCCTTTGTTTTGCAGGCACAAGGTTGGGTCTTCTTCTTAAGCTTATTGGGAATTACACCTTTAGCGGAACGTCTGGGATATGCAACTGAGTAAGCTTTTGTCGTCTAAAATCAGATGCTATTGTTTCATGGATAACATTAATACTTTTTCTTCTGACCAAACAATTAGATTTCTCACTTCCTTTATGCTGCAGGCAGCTGGCAATATATACAGGGCCTACAGGTAGATTTTCTATTTATGCTGTTAAGATCAGTCATGTGATACAAACCTCACGAAACAACCTGAAAAAGCAGAAAGTCTGGGAATAATGATCTTGGTGCATTGACTGCATCATGGTCCATAACTTTAGTTTTATCTCTCCCATCTTTTGCTTATTCTCTAAGCTGCAGGCATGCATAAATTGTGTGCAAAAATCTTGACGCCTTCTGAGAATGCAAGTGGTGGAGCTTATTTCTTATTCATACATTAGGTTGTTCACCATTTAAAGCATGGAACTGTGAATTTATCTGAATAAAAAGCTTGGCTTTTCATTCTATGTAGAGTTTGATCTTCGTATCATGTAAGAAATGGTAATACAGGTAATCCTGGCGAGCCATTTTGCTCTGAATTACAATTTTCTTGAAATTTTTGTAAGGTCACTATCTTCTATTCATCAAACAATATTATTTGATGGACATGGCTGAGCTCTCGTCTGGACTACATAAATAGTGGAAAACTTGATTTGACTGGGTTGCAATATCTTTGGCATTTTTTTCTTTTAATTTTCAAATGTTACTTTTGACTATTTGAGGAGGATTGAGTAACTTCCTTTTTTTTTTTTTTTTTTTTTTTTTGGGTGTGGGGCAGATGGGAGGTAATTTGAATGCTCAGTTAGTATACTACCTGTTGAGATACGTAGTTCCTTGTTAAGTTACGTTTATAATGGAGTCAAATGATAATGTAGCCAAATTGGTCTGCATCCACTTCTACATAATATAGGAAGTTTAATAATAAAGAAATTTCTGTCTGAATTTGCAGTTGGTGGTCTTCTTAATGCAACATTTGGCAATGCAACTGAAATGATCATTTCAATATATGCATTAAAGAATGGAATGATTAGGGTGGTTCAGCAATCATTGTTGGGCTCAATCTTGTCGAATATGCTACTTGTGCTTGGATGTGCCTTCTTCACTGGTGGAATCATTCATCATAAGAAGGTTCAGCATTTCAATAAGGTAGATCTTCACACTCTGATTACAGATTCCTTTCATGAAATGTTTTATGTAGTAAGACTAGTTACGATTGTTATCATATTGGTTTTGTCAAGTATCTTCCATATACTTAACCTCTATCCTTACAATGGATAAGAGGAAAAGATTAGTTGAAGAGAAGGAAAAGCTGATTTCTGTTCAATTGTTTCAAACAGGCTGCTGCTCAGGTGAACTCAGGATTGTTGTTGATGGCTGTCATGGGTATTTTGTTTCCAGCAGTACTTCACTTTACACACACTGAGGTGCATTTTGGGAAGTCAGAGTTATCTCTTTCTAGATTTAGCAGCTGTATAATGCTGGTGGCATATGCAAGCTACCTTTTCTTTCAGCTTAGAAGTCAACACAAGCTTGATGCATCCCTGAATGAGGAATCCATTGATGAGGTAGAGTTCTTTTAGCCAGTCTGATTAGATATTCTAACATTTTATTATATTTTCATATCAAAACTTACAGTTCTCCCGCACATAGTTGTGTAGTTTCTTCTAATTTTTATTTACATGTGAGCTTATATTTGACAATGAGGCATTCATCTCCTGGAGAACTTTTTGGCATGTGCTAATTTTGCAGATGATAGATATGAAGCTTGAAAGATGCATTATCATAATATGTTTATGGATAAATTTATGGCCTTTTTTTTCCTTATGTTCTGGTATTTTATATCTAATATATGCATTTATATTCATAATTTGTTACATTTGGTATTCTTAGGAAAGAAATAATAGTGCAGAAGATTCTGATGAAGAGGAGGCTCCTGAGATTACTCAATGGGAAGCTATTGGGTGGCTTGCTATTTTAACTTTGTGGGTATCTGTACTATCTGGATACCTTGTTAATGCTATAGAGGTAAAAATTATTTATCAATTCTTTCTTTAATGGATGTCTTATTAAGATTAGCTCCTTCAAAAGGCTTCCTTAATGTTCGTGCATGAAAATAACTGCAGGATTTAATTAACTCTAAATTTTGCACTTGTTATTTGATTACCTTTTACTGCTTACGAGAGATGGCTAAAATTTATTTGACGACTATAAAAATTAAGATTTGGAAATTTTTTACACACTTTTATGCTGTTCCTGAATTCAGTATTTCTGATATGCTACTGTTAATAAGTGTTTTCTGAAAATTTCTGCAAATATTTTAAAATTAATCTTTCTTGATATTCAGTGAACTGATTTCTGAGGAAAGCATAAAGCTATGACCTAATATTAATATGTAAAGGATGTTACAGATGTGCATTTCATGAAAGACATCCTCAAATTCATTAAAAAAGGGTCATCTGATCCAGCTTTACCCCTTTGCATTGCCTGTTGGATGTTTCTTGTTCTCGAATATGTAAACTTTTTATGAAATTCCTTTATATAAGGGTTATATGAGATCCTCTGGTGATGTTTAAATTTTTTATGAAGTTTCTGTATACAGAGTTATATGAGATCGTCTAGGTGATGTTATTTCACATGGTTCTCTTGTCAAGGGAACGTGATGAGAACTGGCTAGTGGCTGCACAAGCAAAATTGAAAAAGGGACTGCATGCCTTTGTGGAAACCATTTTTGGCCCTTTGCTACTTTATTAATGAAGGTCCTAAAAAGATGATTCACTTTTTCTAAATGATTTATTTAGTGGCATTTCAGTCTATTAGAGCATATTTTTGTGGGAATCTAATTTAATATAATGTGAGCTTATCATCCATTTTCAAGTTACTTGATGGTTCAGTGCTCTGTTTGCACTTTTCAGGGAGCATCTGACTCGTGGAACATCCCTGTGGCTTTTATTAGTGTCATCTTGCTTCCAATTGTAGGGAATGCTGCAGAACATGCTAGTGCTATAATGTTTGCCATGAAGGATAAACTCGTGAGTGCTTGAAATCTTAAAACTAGCTCAAGTACTTCTTACTTTTTGTTTCATCTAATTACTTGTTTTCTTCTACAGGATATTACCCTTGGAGTAGCTATTGGTTCATCTACACAGATATCTATGTTTGTTGTAAGGCTACAATACCCACTCTTTGCATTTATCAGTAAAAGGTTTACTTGTGGATGGTTTGTCTTGTAACTGTCATGAGTTTACCCTTTTCTTAAACAAAGGAAACATGATATCTTCATTTATTTCCTATTTGTTTTATAAGATGTCCTTGATTTGATTGTATGTGACACGACTGTGTGATTGAACCAACTTATGTCTTAGCCAAACAGCTGACCCTCTGCTTACTGCTCTTTGGCTTATGAATCTTGTATTTATGATAAATGCAGATTCCTTTCTGTGTAGTCATTGGATGGCTCATGGGACAGCAAATGGACTTGAACTTTAAACTCTTTGAGACAGCTACACTCTTCATAACAGTGTTGGTCGTGGCATTTATGTTGCAGGTTGGTTATTTATTCTTGCTATATGCTGATGCACATTAATACTTTTTGTTTCTGGAATTTTGAGAATGCTACACCCTTTATGCTACTTGGCTTGTGAATCTTCTTCCATGCATGTTTCATAACTGCCCTTATTTCTTTTGTATTCATGTTTCACTCATGTCAATTTCTAGCATTTGGTTTTTAATTCCAAGAATTCCCTCCTCCATATTATCTGCTCAGATTTCTAAGATTAAGGTTGTTGCAGTGATAAGTGGCTCTTTTCTGGTGAATTTCCATGGAAACTAACTCCCTTCGCCTCCTCTCTCTCTGATTATTTGGCCAAGTTTGTTGAGCTTTCTAGCTTCACCTTTGATTTTAAGGTGATTGTGTCTGATTCATTACTTGGAGCCACCTGGTTTCCTTGGTGATTGAAGCAATGAGGGAATGTAGTCATTTCTCTTTGGTGCAAGACTACTTTAGGGGACTTGGAACTGTGGTGCTTACATTTGTTAATTTATTAAGCAAGTAAGACTGGTAGAAATGGAAGGCTTAGAAAATCTGTAGCTGTGATAGGCAAAAGCACCCAGATATGTTGACTTCGAGATGTGCAAAAATCCAAACCAGTAGATTACCTTGGTTCAGTTTATATCACTTTTCCCAAATGAATAGGTCTATTATCAGTTCTAAGAAATTGTGAACAGGATTTTGTCAAAGAGGAAACTGAGATGAAGAAGATGAGAGGGAATCTAAGAATATAGAACTTTTGGGTTCTGACCTCTCACATTTAGAATCATGAGTAGTATCATGAGTCTTCATTAGTTAACTGACTTAACTCCCCTTAATAAGATGCTTGACTTTCCTATTTGTGCCACAGGTCGTAATGGAAACTGAGAACCATAATGTTCATAAGGATCAATAATTAGACTAAAAGATGATGACACATGATCCATCCATTGATGTAATTTAAGCACCAGATATGCACCCTGATCCTATAATATGGTTATAAATTAAGCAATTTTTAAAATGAATGAGCAATGTGGATAGTAGAAGTTATTATCTAAAATGATTTGTTCCCATAGCTCATCAAAACAAAATGTGTATGTACCTCAATTTAACAGGAACCACTTATCCATATGCCAAACCCTTAGTATTTAAGCCATATGAGACCTCTGAATTGTCTTTTCATGTGGTTACAATTCTCAATATGGGAAGATGACTGATTGTCCTCTGGTCTAAAGTGACCTTTTTCATTAGGCAAAGACTGCTGGTCATAACTAAATTTCCCCTTTTCACTGTTTCTGAATATGTAGAAAGCATAGTAAGCTATCAAACCGTTACTTAGGAAGTCTGGAGCCAAGTTGCTACTATGACCTTTGATCTGCTTGAAGGGTGGACATCCCCCTGTTTGGGTCAGTTTTGCCAAGCCTTTTGGAGTTCTTTTAAAGTATATGTGAAGGTTGGGTGGTTTCTGTTGTGCCCATCCTAAGCTTTTGATCTCTTGGACCTATTGAGATTGTCTTAAGATAGGGCATATCTTATTTGATCGATCACCAACATTTTTTGGTCCATCCTGGACTGATCTGTCTGCAAAAGTAATTGGCAACCTGAGATCAAATGATTAAATCAACCTTTGGCCTCCAGACACTGATGGGTAGATAAGCCAGTAGTAGAAGCTCCAAATAACTTGACAGTCATATTTAGGTCACTGTTAAGCCAGTGTGTTTTACTGCATTTGGTCTAAGGGCCTATTCCTGCCACAACTAAGTCTTTTGGGTACAAGCAGCATCCTGTGGCCTGATGAGAGAGATTTGGGTAGGTGCAATCAGGGATCAAAGTGTCTCAAGGAACTAGATGATAAAGAAGGTGTATCACATATTTATTGGAAAGGAGCAAGAAATTTGCTGTTATTGGTTCAACATTATGCTGCAGCAAAGAAGAAGTGCAGATTGTACTGCCTATCTGTGGCAAGTTCACTTTAGCTTGTTAGGGAGGAATTTGCTTCCTGTCTCCTTGAAAATACACAATTACAGTTGGATAGTGTATCTGCAACAGTGTGGCATAAATCTGTGTGCAAGTCACAATTGAATCGAGAATCCAGGTGGGATAGGCACAGCAGTGATGGTATAGAGTTTTGGCACATTTAGAAAGATCCCATCTTCATTCTTGACAGCCCAAGGTATTCTTGACATGAATCTGTGTGCAAGTCACAATTGAATAAAGAATCCAGGTGGGATAGGCATGGCAATGATGGTATAGATTTTTGGCATGTATTAGAAAGAGGCTATCTTTATTCTTGACAGTCCAAGGTATTACTGTTGCATCCCAGTAATATATCATATTTTACTAGCATTTATTGTAATTTTGTTTAATGCAGGGCTGGAGCATATAATTTTCTTTAATTTTTGGTCTCAATATTGCATAAAAAGATCATTGTATACAAGTATAGACTATGGTCAACAACAGGCTTCCTTAAGAAAAAGAGCAAAAAAAACAAATAGGTGATTGCTAATATATAATGCTTTTTGAAAAATATAAAGAACTCTTTTAAATCATTCTCTTCCATTGAATTTACATCTTCAGGGCATACCATGTTGTCTAGCATCTTATTTGCATTTTTTGTTGTTCTCCCAGAAGAAGCTTTGGCTTTTAAGATCATTGCTTTCATTGTTACAGGAAGGGACGTCAAACTATTTCAAAGGTTTAATGCTTATCCTAAGCTATCTCATTGTTGCTGCCAGTTTCTTTGTACATGTTGACCCATCTAATGGTGAGTTAACAACTAAATTCTGAGTTGTTTGTTATGATTACCTGTATTTTTTGTGCCCTTTCAGCAATAATTATGATTACCTGTATTTTTGATATTTGCTGTAAATTATTTGTTCTTATATTGAGCTTTTCTGTGCCATTTCAGTGACCAACTCCCTTTTTGTCTTTATGAGTTCTGTTGGAATTTTATCATTTATGACTGAAAATTTTGCAAGCATAGTGTTCTTATTATTTGGTTTTGTTTCCCAAAGCCACTATTCATCTCAGCAACTGATATATTTGTTTATGTGGTAATTTCTTGTAGATGATGACTAAAATTATCAGAAAGGAATGTGGATATGGCCAAACATACGCCAAAGCCAAACTGCTTTCTGTTTCAGCACTCCATATGCGAGAAAGATGGTATATCTTAAGCTTTTTGAGCAAACAGCTACTGTTGTATTCTGTATTTTAGATAATGTAAACAGCCATGCACATTTCTGTTGGCATTATAAGGATTCTGGAATTTATTGGTCTCTCTCTCTAAAAGAGGATGGGTAAAAAAAAAATCTTTGTTCCAAGGTAGTGGAGCTGAGTCATGCCTAATTTCCTCTATCATTCTTTGGCAACTGTTTCCTACAAACTTGACTGTCTGTGGCCTTTGCTGCTCTAATGGCTGATTTATGGCTAGTGGCCACTAGGAGCCATCATGCCTGTATAGGAGCCTGGCGTACCTGTGGAGGGAATTTGGAAACCTCATTAGGAGTGGGAAGTAATGTGTTGGTTTGTGTCTTTTTTACTATATTAATTCTTTCCTGGGTTTATATAACATTATTTTGGCGTGAATCTGACCAGCTAACCTTTTATCCTCCCTGTGGTAGTAGTCTATTAGTTAGCTCTCTCGACAGTCTCAAGCATCATTGGGGGTGTGTTGGAAGAGTTTCCCCAAAGTGAACCAGCACATAGAGTGGTAGTGGAAGCAGCCAAATTGCAATGGGCATGTATGATTGGTGAGCTTTCTTTTCTCCTCTTGTTTAGGTTTGAACGAGAGAGAAAACAGCCAAGGGAGGAGATGACGGCATCACAGAGAGAGAGAGAGAGAGAGAGAGAGAGAGAGAGAGAGAGAGAGAGAGAGAGAGAGAGAGAGAGAGAGAGAGCTGCACTGATACCTGGTGACTTGAGGAATTGATGGCCGACTAGTACTGGTCCATGCAAAAACAGCATAGCATATTCAGTTTGAAGAAGAATCTCTAAAATAAGCAAGTGATGAATCGATGATTTTGGACTAAAGATTGGAACTACGGATGTGGTTAGAAGTCAAGCTCAGCACTGAGGGCTGTGAAAGTGGAGGGGGCAAGTTGGTTTATCTGGACTATCTAGTTATTTAGGCCTTGACTGGCTGTTGTAAATCCCGGGTAGCCTTGGGCAAAGTTTAGGCAGGTCGCGAAGTTGCTTGTGGGCCTCGGAGCATCCGATGCTCGTAAGCTGACCCTCCATAATGCAATCAGATTCGGCAAATCTTCACTTGGATCCTGACTAAAGATTACGAGTATTTAATTAGTCAATTTCCTCAAGCCCCACTCCCTATTCCCAGATCTACTCCACCTTGTCTTTTCTCCAACCAATGTAACACAGCTTTTTCTAGTGGGTTGGAAAGGTTAAAACGTATTTTGTGGCTCTGGTCAAAATCAGAAGTTGACGTCTGGCCACATACTTGATTGCAAGGAAGGCTTGATAAAGACAAATTTGGAAAGCCAAAAAAAATCCTAAAATTTATAGTAGTCTCTGTGATTGTGAGAGAACAACAGTGCATGATTGGTAACGCTTACAAACAAGGCTAACATCTTTATGTGCGAATGTCTAAGCTGCATTCTTATCGTTTATAATCAAAAAACTAGGTAAAGGCCCCGCCTCGTTTTCATTACATATGCCAAAAAAGGTTGTTTTATACACGCAAGCTTGAAAATCTTGTGGAAAAACTGTAAGGTAACATCATTGACCATACAACAAACAATAAATATATTATGTAACCAAAAAAAATATATATATATATATATATATTAAAGTCTACATCACGACTTGTATTTTCCACGCACTAATCTTAGAGAAATGACAGAAAATTAAGAGAAGAGAAATAACTTAATCTCCCTCGATGGTAATCATAGTAAGCATATAAATATATATATATATATATGTTATTTTTTTTTCTTTTTTTCTCTTTGATGGATAACATAGAGGGATGTAATCCACGGCAATTTTATGTCAATATTAATTTTTTTATTTATGAAAAGAAGTTGGTGGAGAATTATATACAAAAATAAATTATTTTTTTAGTTAAAAAATCAGTTATTAGGGAAGTTATTTTTTTGAAAAATTGATTCTCGAAGAACTGATTGCAGTTGGTAAATTGTTTTCACATGAATTAATTTTTCAAGTGAGAAAAGTTGAATGAAATTCTATTGAGGGCTTTGTCTGGAGTTCTGTAATAAAGGGAGAAGGAGAAAAAGGGAGAGAAGGAAGGAAGAGAAAAGGAGAGAGAAAAAAAAAGGTAAGGGACGGAAAAAAAATGGGAAGCTTTTATAGAGGTGTGTAGTAGAGGGAAGGGAAAATGAAGGGGGATGAGGAAGGAAGAGGGAGCAAGGGGAAGATGTCCTGCCTCCATGGATACTCCTGATTTTTTTTCCCTTCCCCTTTCTCTTCCTTCTGTTTCCTTCCTTCCATAGATGCTCCATGGAGGTGGGACTTCCCCTTCTTCCCTTTTCCTTCCTTCTCTTCTCCTTTTTATTACAAAACTTCATGGATAGAGCTCTATAATAAAGCTCTATTTAATTTTTTCTAATTAAAAAATTAGTCTCCAAATAATTTTTTGAAAGAAATTAATTTTTCAAGAACCAATTTTTCAACATAAACAGTATTTAATATATCTTCATAACATCACGTCAGAAAATTGAAATTTCAACTTTCCGTAGTCGACACGGAGGAACAAGGTGCAAACATGCCTCCAAGTTGTTATTAGCCTATAGAAGTATATATTTGCAGCCCTTTCCTCGTTTGGTCAATGGCAATTCGGTTTGGATAGGTACCAATATTACTATCCTAGATAAGCTCCAGTTGCCCAACCGCTAGTGGCCTCAAAAAGTTGAACGCGCTTTTGAGAATTTGGACCTCAACATTTTTATAATGCCTGAATGTCATTATCAAACTCCACCTTTCCTTCTTAAATGAGTGACTTGATGACTGCACAAGGTCACATATTTGAGACATTTGCACAATACACTCCCAAATTTTGATAATTGGGGGTGCATTGTGCATGTCACCCTCACATATTTGGAAGAAAAGTGGGGCTCCCATGTCTGTTGGATTGTACTTTGCAGTGGCTTCCTCGACTGTCTTCTTCTTCTTCTGGTTCTTCTTCTTCTTCTTCCTCTTCTATCCCAATAATGATCAAAAAAGACGTTAAAGAGACCCTCCTGCAATATGTTATGACAAATCTTCAGCTCATAACAGTTACGTTCTCGTTTCTCAATTGTCCCAAACTCTCCCTAATTCTTCCTTTTTCTGTTTTCCTTTTCTCTTTCTCTGTCAATCCCTGCCATGCCTCCTGCAATCAACTAGACCTCGACTCTCTTCTGTCCCTCTCCTTCAATCTTTCTAAGTCTTCATCTCCACTAAATTGGTCTTCAGGACCTGACTGCTGCTTCTGGGAAGGCATTGCCTGCGATGAGAACAACCGGGTGACTCGACTTTGGCTACCTTCAAGAGGCCTTCAGGGGAAGATTTTGCCTTCCATCCTCAACCTCACTGGTCTCTCCCAACTCAACCTCTCGCACAATGCTCTCTATGGACCATTCCCAGATAGGTTTTTCACGTCCTTGAATCGGCTTCAGCTAATTGACCTGAGCTATAATCATCTCTCTGGAGAATTAACCTCATCTGGAAGCTTACCTATTTCTGTTCTCAGAGCTGACTTTTCCAGCAATCGCTTAAATGGGACAATTCAATCATCGTTTCTACAGCAAGCTTGGAATTTGACCGCTTTTAATGTCAGCAACAATAGCTTCACGGGGCAAATCCCTTCCTCCGTTTGTGTCAATTCACCTTCTATTCAATCCCTTGATTTCTCCTCCAATGACTTCAGCAGTCAGATTCCACGAGGACTGGGAGCGTGTTACAAATTGCAGGCCTTCCGGGCAGGTTTCAACAGCCTCGGGGGACATATTCCCGATGATATTTACAGTGCACTGCAACTGCAAGTACTCTCTTTACCTGCAAATAATTTGAAAGGATCCATTAGCAAGGGAATCACTAACCTCACCCAACTCAGAATCCTTGAGCTCTTTTCTAATCAATTCACAAGTTCTATCCCTCAGGATATTGGAAAGCTCTCCAAGTTGGAAGAGCTGCTTCTACACATCAACAAACTCAATGGCTCTGTACCTCCGTCTCTGATGAACTGTACCAGACTCAGAAAACTGAATTTAAGGGAGAACTGCTTTGGAGGTGAACTATCGATGCTAAATTTCTCCAAACTACTCCAACTTAGAACAATAGATCTTGGAACCAATAATTTTATTGGTGTCATCCCAGTGAGCCTTTTCTCCTGCAAGTCACTGACTGCAATTCGATTGGCTGGGAATCAGCTCAAAGGGCAGATCTTGCCAGAAATAGTCTCCTTACAATCTCTCACCTTTCTCTCAATCTCGAATAACACGCTGAACAACATCTCAGGAGCAATTGCGATTCTAATGGGGTGCAATAACCTCAGAACTGTCATCCTCACAAAAAACTTTTACAATGAAGAAATTCCAGATGAACGGATAATGGATTCAGAAGGGTTTCAGAATGTCGAGGTGCTCGGCTTAGGTGGTTGCAACTTCACTGGTAATATCCCCAGTTGGCTGGCTAAGCTTAGGAAGCTAGAGGTCCTGGACTTGTCTTGCAATCAAATCTCAGGCTTCATCCCAGGTTGGTTGGGAACTCTTCCAAATCTGTTCTACATAGACTTGTCTCATAATTTTCTCTGGGGAGGCTTTCTCCTGGAGCTGACAAGACTAAAGAGAATGGCATCTGAGGGGGGCGCTGACAAAGTAGACAAAAGTTATCTTGAGTTGCCTGTCTTTGTTGACCCTGACAATGATTTCAAACAGCAATATGATCAGCTTTCCCACCTGCCACCAGCAATATACCTGAAAAACAATAGCCTCACTGGCGCTATTCCTGTTGAAATTGGAAATTTAAAATCTCTTCATGTGCTGGATTTAAGTTCAAATCACTTCTCTGGCAACATTCCCGAACAGATATCTAATCTCACAAACCTGGAAAAGCTTGACCTCTCTGGAAATCAATTATCAGGTCAAATTCCAGCATCATTGGCAAGTCTCCATTTCTTGTCATTATTCAATGTTTCGTACAACAATCTTCAGGGACCTATACCAACAGGAGGTCAGTTTAATACTTTTTCCAATTCCAGCTTTGAGGGAAATCCGGGGTTGTGTGGATCCATTTCAGTCCGCCCTTGCCCCACTCAGCCAAAAGCGATGCACCCTCACGAGAGGCAAAATAAGAAAAAAGTTAATGGACTCATGTTGGGTATATGTTCTGGCATTGGCTTTACTCTAACTGTGCTGGCAGCATTTTTGTTCTCCATGAGGAGGATACTTCCAAGTGAACCCAAACAAATCAATCTGGATACAAATTGCCATGGCACAAACTCTGGCATGTCTACTGAGATTAGAAAAGATGATACCAATCTAGTCACAGTCTTCCCAAATAGCATGGACGAAATCCATGATCTTTCAATAGCAGAGATCCTGAAAGCTACAGAAGATTTTAACAACATTGTTGGTTGTGGAGGTTTTGGCATGGTATATAAAGCAACTTTAGAAAATGGGACCAAGCTGGCTGTCAAGAAACTATCAGGAGATACAGGGCTTATGGAAAGGGAATTTAAAGCAGAGATAGAAGCTCTATCAACAGCACAACACAATAACTTGGTTTCCCTTAAAGGCTACTGTGTTCATAATGGATTTCGGATACTGATATATTCATACATGGAGAATGGAAGTCTTGACTATTGGTTGCATGAGAAGATAGATGGAGCAGCACAACTTGATTGGCCAACTCGATTGAAGATTGCACAAGGAGCAAGTTGTGGGCTGGCTTACCTGCATCATATATGCGAACCACATATAGTGCATCGAGACATCAAGTCTAGTAACATCCTCCTTGATGAAAAATTTGAAGCACATGTTGCAGATTTTGGATTGTCCAGATTGATCCATCCTTATAACACTCATGTCACCACCGAACTAGTTGGCACCTTGGGTTACATTCCCCCAGAGTATGGCCAAGCATGGATAGCCACTTTAAAAGGAGATGTTTATAGTTTTGGTATAGTTATGCTTGAGCTGTTAACTGGGAAGAGGCCTCTGGAAGTGTTCAATCCAAAGATGTCAAGAGAAATAGTTGCTTGGATCCAGCAAATGAGGAGTGAGGGAAAACAAGATGAAGTATTTGATCCACTTCTGAGAGGTAAGGGCTTTGAGGAAGAGATGTTGCAGGTGCTTGATGTGGCCTGCATTTGTGTCAACCAGGACCCTTTGAAGAGGCCAACAATTACAGAAGTAGTCAATTGGCTAAATAACGTGGGGGCCAGCAAGTAACTTTTGTACAACTTAGTGAAATATGGATTGATTCCAATGTACTGCTCTAAATAATTGGGCTTTTTTTTCTTTTAATTTTATCTATCTATAACTATAGTGTATAACTCATATCTAGGAAAATTTCATCACCAAGTAATTCAGTTTGAGTGCATAGACAAAGGAAGGACAACATTATCTTAAAGTCTGCTCGAAGAGAAAATAACGATGTCAATTCACTACATTACACAAAGCAATATTTTCGAGATGGCTAACTCCCTTTGGCAGAACGTTTACTTTTATTTATGTGTCTGCCTTCGAGGTTTGTAAACAATGGAGATATATCTGCTAAGGTGTAGTGGAATATTTAAATGGAAGGACAGACTTGTAACCTTTGATTTGCAGGAGAACATGCAAAATAACTACTTAAGAAGAATATATTGAGAAAGAAATTGTACAGTAATTAATCTACCAGAGGATAAAAATCTTTAGTATTCATATCATCAACTGCACAGCAAAATCAGATCCACTCAGTTAGTTGAGTAAGTGTCCATTATTATGAATGATGTAATCCTGACAAATTATGGCATTTGATGTGAACTGATTAAACTAATCACTGTAGCAGACATACCTTTTCATCGGCCTTGGACTTCTGTCAAATATATTATTAGACAAATAAAATAAATAATAACGCTTTCTAGGAATGTCATCCGAGGAGAAGAAATGAAACACAATGGTGAGAATTTTCCAATATTTCGTGGTCACTCCACTACATGAAGCTTTGAGTAAAAGTAGGACTTCTACATTACATGGATGCTCTGGAAATCTGCACAAAGGAGCACACTTGCGAACACCGTACATCATTTGCAAAAGTTGTTGATAAATTGGACTACTAAAAATGTAGCATATTATTGAAACATTTACACAGGCAGGTGGTGGAATTAACATGTCACAGGGTCTACATATTCCTTATTGACTTCCCTGCTTCTTTACTCGACAACATTATCGGTAGTTGTGAATTTTTAACATATCTAAATAGCTATAAATCAAAGCTTAAGCCTTGAATCCAGCTGCCAAAGGAGACACTGGTCCTAAAATTGTGTGACCAGACATATCACGCGTCCTTAGGCTCAGGCTTCCCATTGACTAATCAAATATTCCACAATCATACAATAAGCAGAGTTGTGTTGACGCTGATGAGTCCTTGACAGTAGAATCCTGCTTCTGATGCGGCGTATCTATTGATTCCTTTGTCGATCGGGCCCTATCTCTTCTTACGTATATGCAAGGAATATGATCGAAGTGTTTTGATTCTATCAATCTGGCTGGAGCTTGAGTGAATTGGTATATATTCGTATGTTCCCCATAAGAACTGAATGCAATGCAACTGTATCTGATGATTGATGATTCAGTTTTGCCTCCGACCTGCATGCATGATCTCAGGCATTGAGAATCAATCCACACCAGCTCAGTATCCTCTCTCACTCGGCTCGTAGGCTTGTGCTGTTAAACTAATTTTAATTAATTTCCAGTTGCAGTATAATACAGCTGGATACAGTTATGAGAAGTTTCACATGACACTGTCATTCCCAACGGCCCCCTCATAATTTTTCCCCTTATTTCTTCAGCTTAGCTGCTTTTTAAGTGTTCTTAAAAGTCCGAGTTCTTGACTAACTCAAACCCCTGCCTTTACTGTATGATTAAGGTATAAGAGCAAATATGCCCCTAATACACGCGCGCTCGCCTATTTTGGGGGAAGTGGTCTAAAAGTTAGAGAATATTTGGTTTTATTTAAATTAATTCATTTAATTTTTTATTTACATATTTAGTAAAATAAATAAATAACAAATAAGCAGGTGGGTTTTAAGTAGTAAATCAATAAAAAAAAATTAAATCGACATTTTTAAAATTTTTTAATTGTTTATTATTATCTTGTATATAATTATCTACAACTTTAAATATATATATATATATATATAATATTTAATAAGTGGTCTAATTCTATAAATTATTTGAAGCATATAATGTTTTAAATAATTTTAAATAAATAAATTAAATGTTCTCTTAGCAGCATTTGAATATGTGTTGCATGGTATTGAATAGGAAAATGCGGAGAACTAACTTAAAAAAAAAAAAAAAGAGAGAGAAAAAAGAAAGAAATCAATGTCATTTTAATTTGTCACCAACAAAGATCATTAATTAAACGTTATTCCTTTATTTTCTCTTCTCTTATTTAGTCTGGCACGACAAAATAAGAAAAATTATTTTTACTCATTATTTACTCTCATCTTGCTGTCCAAATTATACAATAGTAGAAACCAAACTATATTATTTTCTTTCTTTTATTTTCTTTATAATTCAACAAATTATCCCTTTCTTTTCTCACTTTGCCATCGAACATATCTTTTGATCCAGAAAATTTCTTCACGAATAAGAAACAGAATAAAAATGGATTAAAAAAATGCATTAATAAGAGCCCTTGTACAATTTGTACTTAGTCACATCCGTTGCTGGGTACAATGGGAGCAGCGTTGGAAGTCTTGAAGATTGGAGGATCCCCCTTCCCAAGCTATACTGATCAGTTGGAATATGTGACCATAACCTCTCATGTGCCCATAAACCCAATGGTTCTTTACCCATTAGGTCAAAAAATTGGAAGAGCACACAAGATGAAAAGGTTCGGAGACCCAGTTGGAGTCGTTGGAAGTTAATCATCGCCATGAATGTACCAGCAGAGGAGCGTGGTGGCGCAGCGGCGGAGGATGTAAATTCGGGCTCGTTGCTCTTTCACCAAGGAAGCACACTTGCTTGTGAAGCCATGACCCTTTCTCTTTGAGGGGTTGTAGGCTCTGCTCTTCAATTGCTGATGCTTTAGCCGATAAGCCATGGTCGTTTGATGAGATATGAAAAGCACAGGATCAGAAGAGTAACGGGAAAAAAGCTCACAGTTTGGAGCTAGACCCAGAGTGGGGCAGGCTGGGGAGTCATGTATTTATAGATTCATGGGCTTGGTTTGGACCAGGTTTTGAGAGAAGAAGGAGAGTGAACATGGGCAGGTTCGAAAACAGGGGGATTTGCACTGTTTTCTAAGAAGGAAGGAGGGGCAACGTGGGCTTCGATTTCTCATGGATTATAATATTGACTTGTACAGTGGAGCAAGAGGGCGGGATATTGTATTTTTGAATTTTCTTTTAGTGTAAAATATAGCAGAGAGGGTAAAATAAGTGGAAAAAAAGGCTGGATAAGGGGAGGGCTGCATAATGAAGACGAGGCAGGGGAAGGGCCACAGGGAACATGGTGTCGGCCTACTGATCTCAGTTCTAAGTTGGGTTAGGGCTGAAATGGGTTTAGAGAAATATCACCATTTTTGATGATCTGAATCATTCTTAGAAACATTTAAATTTAAAACCTTTGCATGATATTCTAAAAAATTTAAATTGATTAGGAAAAGATGAACTAATCAAATTTATTGAAATGGAGAAATTTAAAAAACAATTGCAAAGATCCTTGTTCTGCTGGGTGATCTGAGTATTGTCCATTAGAAGTAGGATGTGAGAAAAACCTTACCGTTGGGCGATTGCATTGCGTCTTGTTATCCAAGCATGTCACTCTCACATGCAAGTGCACACACCAGCATTATTACAGCTTTTATCTGATGGATGTTCCAAGTGGGAGGTATTCATTTCAAGCTTTAAAAAATGTTTAAATGAAAAGTTGATAAACTGGATAACAATCAAGCAAATATACAACTAATCTAATCAATATATAAATAATGGATGTCTAAATTTGAAAAAAGAGAAAAATGAATTCTCGATATTTAAAGAATTCTTAAGAATAGAGTATTCTGTAGATGAACTATTTTAACTTAGCCAAATTTAGAGTTTGATGGCAATCTTGAGCATGGACATGTGTCCTTTGAAGCATGCATGTACATGTGAACAGTAATTATGATGCTTAAGAAAAGGAAAACCAAGGTTACCGCACCCCCAGAAGGAGATCGGTATATGTGCTTGCAGACCCGCTCATTTTTCTTCTTTCTTAAATTTTCTGATCTGTGTTTGTAATATCTTAAGTTGAAGAAACTTTGAAGTTGATGAGATTTTCTACAAAAGCAAATTTTGGCATGTGGACAACTGAGATTTTGATAGCCGCATCTCACCCCTTGCTCATACTCTGCATCTGTCATGCATACATTCACACCCACAGACAACTTCCAATCTTCACAGATTTGCCTGTTCAACTCAACAGCGACTAAAGGTTTGAATGAACGCTTGAATATCTCCATGTGGGTAAAAAATTAACATTTCCTTGTCTGAATATTTTAAAAAGAAAAATTACCATTACCTCTCACTGTAAGAAGGATCTGCCATTTCTGTTGGTTTATATATTAACCACAGTAGTTATTTATCCCCCTCCTCCACCCACACCTGCAGAAGACAAAGAACTCAAGGGTTAATATATAGGGCTGTCCAACGGCTAGCCAGCTGCTATCTTACCTTTGGACCATGAAAGAAAGGTGAGAAAGATCAAGGTCACTTCTTCCTTTTCTTTTGGTCTCTCCTGGGCCTAAGCCTGGAAGGTGGTGTTGAATTAGCCTCTTCGATTTAGTTTCCTAAAGGAACAATTTATATAAAATGGGGGTTGGAAACAGCTCAAGTTAAGTTTTTTGATATTTAATTAATGACAAAAAAAAAATCAACATTGAGGAATACTTATATCCCTTGAATCCCTTGTAAAAAGGTAAGTTTTCACTACAAATTTGAATTCTCTTTTAAAAAATTTAAATATTTTTTATATATTAAATACACAAATTTTATAATTTAAAAAATATTTTCTCCAATTATCCAACCCATGCATGGTGGATAAATCTATTTGAATTCTTTATTGCCTGTTAAATTTAATTATTCAAGAGCCAATAAACATGGTCATAATTCACAAATATCTAAACCCAACGTATATTATTTTTTCAAATTATATAATATTTTTTTATTTTTACTTTCTTTTTCCACGCACGTTAAAAATATTAAAGAAAAAAACCCTCCTTACCTGTAAAATAACGGGGAACGGCCCACAACCGTACCATTTATTCCCGCTAAGAATCCGTCTACTTGTTAAATTAGTTGCACAACATGAATTCCTCTGCGTGCTTGCCCATCGTTGGATACTTCCCGCCAGTCCTACGTGGCTCAATCACAAGCAATGGACCGTTTGGTGGTTTGACTGTTAGGTTGAAAAGATTTTGAAAGAGGGTTATACAACGGCTCGTCTTCCTCATTTCCTTCGTATTCGTTGTTCGCTCTCGACCTCAAGAAGACGATGGGGAGATCACGCTCGGTATCTCGGTCTCTATCTGGACTATTAGCTGGTGGGGTGTCAACTACCATTGGACAGCAGCCATATCCATGCAGTATTGCCTTTATAGGTCCACCCCCACCTCACCTCATGTTCTGCTTCTTTATACTATTAGTGAACCCTAGACCTCATTTTCCACATGCAACTCGGTCAGCACTCCAGCCAGTAGCCCTTCCTTTCTTCCCAGCAAATTTGGAGCCTCGTCTTTTCTCTCGAGTAAGAAACTGAATCAATTATGTATACATTCATTTGTGATTTCTGTATAGCGTGCATCTGAGGAAACCAAATGTCAATTGTGTAAGAGAAAATGCGTTTCCTGATGGAATGTGCTGATCTCAGAAAATGTTAAACTTCTTTGACACAGAGTTGAACTCCATATTAATTTTTATCACATTGTGATGGCACAGTAGCATGCATTAGATTTTTAACATTGTAGTTTCTGACACTACCTTCAATGTAGAGTATAAACATCCACGTTCCTATTTGGTTATTGAATTTTGATTACTTTCCCCAATTAGAGACGCGGGTATACATGCAGATGACATTGTTCCAAGAGCCATTCAACCTTAATTTATGTATTTATTTCTGCGGTGACATTAATGTTTATGAAGTTTTGGTCCAAAACGCAACTAATCAAATTGCATTTCCTCTCATAAGCATTTCTGAACATTTTGTTGCAATTTGTTGTTTTAATTTTAGTGCATATCTTCTTTCTTTCAGTTATAACATCCAGTTTGCCTTTATTCTTCTCAGAAATGAAACTCAGTTTCCTTTGATTTGATGGTTGGTCACCCAATTTTTTTCAGCATATATATGCAGTTAAAAATCTTCTCTATGTTAAATCTATGTTCCTAACAATGTCACTTAGAATTGTGGCACTTAGAATTGGAATAGGAATGTCGTTCAACATATGATCTAACAAAACTCTGCAGATCATTATTAGAATATGAAGTACTATAGAATGCATTCTCTGAGAGACCTGTCCAGATTGTGCTATTAGAATTTAGAGCACTTCTAGAGCACTAGATGTTGACAATTAGACATCCAATAAAACTTGGTCTATTTCTTTTCTAAATTAATCATACGTAATAGTATGTATATGAACCTAAATCTTTGCTCTCCGATGATTTCACTCCATTAAACCTTTTATGTAATAATTTGAAAAAATTTTGGGACCATCTGGTTTCTAAATTTGGAATATCATTTTAATTTACTTTGTCTTGTATAGTTAGCATCACACAGGCATAAGCCATACAGATGGAATTCGTTGCCTTCAAGTGTTAATGCTGTCCTTCCACACAATTGGATTAGAGAAATTAGTTTGCATATGCTTGATTGATGTATTTGATTGAACATTCAGTTTTGTCTTGATTCCAGGCTTTAAAGCTTGAATGATGTCTGAAGAACTGGAGAAGCCGCTATTGGATCCTGAGAATTTCAACAGGGAAGGGATTGACCTTGTAAGATATCAATTAAACATGAGGAAATGTCACCCTTTTGAATTCACATATGGTAGTATAGAAAAAAAATTATTACATTAATTTGGTTGAACAGGAACGTTTACCATTGGAAGAAGTCTTTGAACAATTAAGGACATCACGAGCAGGCCTTACCACTGAAGATGCAGAAGTTCGATTGAAGATATTTGGCCCAAACAAACTTGAAGAAAAGCCTGTAAGCATCAAAACTCCTGATAATATTTGATTCCTTATGTGTATGAGCATTGAGGTCTGAAGCAAAGAAATAGACATGAAGAGAATATATGGTTTTTACTGTTGACAATATAGGAAAAGACACAAAAGCCTGTAGTTTCAAAAGCAAAATTTGAATAATATTCTTACAAAATTGATGTTGGGAGTTAAATCTTCCTGTTTATGAGAAAAAAATAATTTCTTTGCCAGTGGAGATAGACTGTGTTATGAAAAGTCAAATCTTACTTTCTTGGCCAAAGATTTAGCTAGTCCCAAAGGGATAATGTTGTTTTGGTATAGAGACGTTGTAATCATATCCATTTGTTGAAGAAAATTTATCAAACAGACACACCAAAAATGGGTGACCAGAATATACCCTAAATGTCAGGATTACAAATATTAGGGCCAATTTTTGAAGTTTGTTTTGAGCACGATCTGTGGCATAACATCCATCTAAATTGTGAAACCTATGTAAAATGGTTGTAATCCTTCTAGACTTCCCTTTTCTATTTCCATGCAGGAGAACAAATTTTTGAAATTTCTGAGTTTCATGTGGAACCCCCTGTCATGGGTTATGGAAGCAGCAGCAGTGATGGCAATTGTCCTTGCCAATGGTGGAGTGAGTTCTTTTTTCCCATAATAGCTTTTCTGGCAGGGCAATATACTTTTTATTATTTAATGCACAATGATAAATTTATCTATGTCCATTATCTGCATCATAATGTAGTTTCTTAATATTTCAGGGGGAGGGTCCTGACTGGCAGGACTTTGTTGGGATTGTCTGCCTTCTTTTAATAAATTCAACAATAAGCTTTATAGAGGAAAACAATGCTGGTAATGCAGCAGCAGCCCTTATGGCACGTTTAGCTCCAAAAACAAAGGTGCGTGCTGATTTAACTGATTGCCTTAGTATTATGGCAAGGTCATGAGATGAGAGTGAAATTCTCAGTGGCTGTGTCTTCAAAATGACCAGCACCTTACTGCTTACGGTGTCTAAACTGGCTGACTCTTTGGCAAAGCCAAGCATGTTACTTCCATGACTAATGTCTAATCAAACACCAAATTTTCTAATGAGAATATATACATATATATATATATATATATAAAAGAGTTTATGAGTGGAAAAGAAGTCTTCATCACAGTAAATTATGGCAATGTTAAAAGTGGATAGTATTTAGACCCAGCCTGATAATAGAGTGGTCAACAATGACTTCATGCAGCCTACTTTATATTTTCAGAAATGCATTAATTATCTTAAATACAGGTCCTTAGAGATGGTCATTGGCAAGAGGAAGATGCAGCTATTCTAGTACCAGGAGATATTATCAGCATAAAGCTTGGTGATATCATCCCTGCAGATGCTCGACTACTTGAGGGAGATCCCTTAAAAATTGACCAGGCAAAATACCTTTTGAACTGAACAATATGCTATGCTTATCTGTAGTTTTGTACTTTTATGTTGTCATTTTTCCTTGAGTATCTCTTTGTTGGCATTTCAATCAAAATTTTGAGACTTACAAATCTTATGTGGTTAGAAAAATGGCATTACCTTCTGGCTTTTCCTTCCTATGCAGTCAGCTCTTACTGGAGAATCACTGCCTGTAACCAAGAGGACAGGTGATGAAGTTTTTTCTGGTTCAACATGTAAGCATGGAGAGATTGAAGCTGTGGTGATAGCAACTGGAGTTCACTCTTTCTTTGGAAAGGCTGCACATCTCGTTGATTCCACCGAAGTTGTTGGTCACTTCCAGAAGGTGGTTAAGAAATAGTTTAGCTTAGTATATGAAAACTGAGCTCTTGCTATAAATACCAGAAGTTTAAGACTTTAAAATACATAAGCTTTCAATCCATGTTAAGTCGAGCTGCAACTATTCGCAATGGAAAGTCTATGAATAGAACTAACTCCCCATTGAATACATTATAAGAAATGTAACCTTATTTTTCCTCTGCAGGTTCTTACTTCCATAGGGAACTTCTGCATTTGTTCTATAGCTGTGGGAATGATTTTAGAAATCATTGTCATGTATCCCATACAGCAACGTTCATATAGAACTGGAATCAACAACCTTCTTGTTTTATTGATTGGAGGAATACCCATAGCCATGCCAACTGTTTTGTCTGTCACACTCGCAATTGGTTCCCATCGGCTCTCTCAACAGGTATATCCTTGTTACGGACATCAATATGAAAAAAGCTAGTATTTAGGAAAATCATTATAAAAATTTATAATCTAGAGTTATGTTAGACTCAGTGTTTGGATGTTTTCGTCATGTTCAAGGATACAAGAACATGATGAAATTTATTATTTCGAAAATTTTTGTTCGTTTATCACATGAAAAAAATGACACAAAATTGAGTAGATTCGTGCAAGGGGGCATTGGTCCTTTAAATTTTCTAAACCATTCAACTACAGTTATTTCCTTGGGGAAGATGAATTTAATGTTCTAAGTTCTCACAGAAGAATCTTAAAACTGAAATATCAAAGCTGATTTCTTGAAAACTCTTCTCTTCTCCATGTATTCTCTCCTTTTCCCCCACTATTCTTCTGCTTCTATAGGGTGCTATTACAAAGAGGATGACAGCTATTGAAGAAATGGCTGGGATGGATGTCCTCTGCAGTGATAAAACTGGAACCCTTACCCTGAATCGCCTCACTGTTGATCGAAACCTTATTGAGGTATGGAATTTAGGTTCATTAGGGTTCATTTTCCCTATATATTACTTGTTCTATATGAAACAAGTATCTTTTGATAATGTAAGTATATGTTACATATTTGGTTGTGTTTTACACAGATCTCCAATTTTGAAGTATAAATTCATCAATTTATGCAAAAATTGCTCTATGGTAAACTTCTAAATGATATCCCAAAATTATTCTTTGGAAATGTGTTATGCTTACTTGAAAAATTGCAATTTACCACAGAGTATATATCAAGAATTCACTCGGCCCTCTAGATGTAACTTCTTGAAATACAATACATTAGCACTGAGTGATCGACGTGTTCATGCAGGCTGATGAATGAATCTTAGCAAGAAGGCTGGTTTTCTAGTCACAACACGTATTTGCGAATTCAATTTACTGGTTTAGACCTCTTTTTGAATGTTTTTCTTAACATTATATTAACCAAGCATGTTCTTTTTTTAGGCTATCTGATCCTACATATTAATTTATAGTATGTTAGTAGGATTCCTTTGTTTGCTAAAAGATTATCTTAAAATACACTGTCAATTTAAGTTTTGGCCACCAAACCTATGAATGAAGAAAACATTTGGTGGGCACAGCATGGATGATACTCACAAGTGAATAACTTAGCCATAATTGTGAGGCCCAATGGCAAGGGCACACACATTGGTAAACGAATTGGCAACAAGTCTCCTTTTGATTGGAAACGACATACAAGTACCAATTCTTTAGAACCTAATCTTATTGATAAGTTTTCATATTTCTCATCTTTAAATTTTCCACCTATGTACTTCAAATCTCATGATGGCTCATAGAATTATAATGAGATTATATATCTAGTGGCAGTATCCTATGATCTCATTAGATTGGAAAATGCTCCATTTACAGTTTCAGAGTTCTTAAATTTCTATTATGAACATTGGGTAACATATTTCCTCTGCAGGTTTTTAACAGAGATATGGACAAAGATATGGTAGTTCTCCTTGCTGCTAGAGCTGCAAGATTAGAGAATCAGGATGCAATTGATACTGCCATTGTCAACATGCTTGCTGATCCAAAGGAGGTGGACATTAAAAATATATAGCTATTTTTTGATTTTTCCCCTATTCGTTTCATATGAAGTTTTCTCAGGAGGAATTAATTTTTTTCCCCATAGGCACGTGCACACATCACAGAAGTCCATTTTCTGCCTTTCAACCCAGTGGACAAGCGCACTGCAATTACATACATTGACTCTAATGGCAACTGGTATCGGGCCAGCAAAGGGGCCCCTGAGCAGGTATCAGTATAGAAACAGTTGCTGAAACTATTTTGTACACATATTGCTTGCATGCATGACCTTGAACTCTGAAGAAATAGTGTGGATTAAGTTTCACATATTCTGCCTGTGTGACCACAAGAAAGAAAGGAACATTATGGTGTGAACCTGGAATATGATTAAAAGCCTTGCATAATATAAAGCGGAAATTGTTTCTCACAGAGATTTTGGTTGAGCTACTTTTCATCCTTTTTACAAGGGTAAATGTTGGCAGTCAGTATTCCTATAAACACAACATAAAATTTTCTTCAATAACATTAGGCTATTATGTTGTGGGAAATTTTTTTTATTTGTTATGTCATCAAAGAATGGTTTATCTTTTCAAAATTGTAGTACTGTAATCAATGTTCATTCTTTCCTTTCTTCCTTCCGTGAAACCAGATTGTGAATCTCTGTGAAGAGAAAGAAGAGATTGCTGGAAAAGTTTATGCCATTATTGAAAAATTTGCGGAACGTGGTTTGCGGTCCCTTGGAGTTGCTATTCAGGTATACATGCATCAGTCTTTTTCTTTCTTTTTTAGTTTGTTGGATTGATGATGGAATTTTGCAGTCAGATAAATACAGAATCATAGTTTCTTTCTTGCATGTTCCAAACTACTAGGATGCCAGCTAAAGAATGTAGTTAATTCCTATAATGGAGTGTATTTGTTAATCCTTTTTTTCCGATTCATTCCAGGAAGTTCCTGAAAAATCAAAGGACAGCCCTGGGGGTCCATGGAAATTTTGTGGCTTGTTGCCTTTGTTTGATCCTCCCAGGCATGATAGTGCTGAAACCATTCGTAGAGCACTCAATCTTGGGGTTAATGTCAAGATGATCACAGGTAAATAGAATTCTAGGTCTTCTGGAACTTGTAGCTAATCTCAAGACAAAATTCAGTGAATGTCGGATGCCATCAGTAGTATTATCCACGACTAATATAATGTTTGCTACTGGCTATTAGAACTCAGTCATCCAAAACCTACACCAAGCTGTGCTCCTGTTATTGTTTCTTTTCTTTAATTAAGTATTTTTGGCTGTAGGCAGACAATTTACCCAATTAATGAACACTTTTTACAAATTCTCCAACTGCTAGAACAATAAATTGGCATATCAAGTGACTGAAAAAATTGAGGCATTTGGTAAATTAATAAGATTGAACTCACCAAATCTGCAAAGCAAAATTCATCATCCAATGATCCAACAGTGCAAATTTGTTAATTTTTTATATGAGTCTATCCAATATCACTTATTCTTTTTTATTTTTTATTTATTTTTCTCATATAGGTGATCAATTGGCAATTGCAAAGGAGACAGGTCGACGGCTTGGCATGGGAACGAATATGTATCCCTCTTCAGCATTATTGGGCCGGGAAAGGGATGAAAATGAAGCTCTACCAGTTGATGAACTCATTGAGAAGGCTGATGGCTTTGCTGGTGTATTTCCTGGTACTTACTTGCATTACCCATCTCCTGAAATCATTGCCTAACCAAAACTTATTTTTTGCTTCTCTAGGATCATTTATTTTCTTGTTTAAATAAATGAAATTAATAAAGAATTCTTTCACAAGTAGACAAAGATCATTTTTCAGTGAAGGGAAATGATTTTAACATTTTAATACAAATATAGTTTAGTAAATTCTATTTGTAATATGATAATAGTTTAGTAAATTTTACATCATCCATGCTTATAAAGCTGGTCTTAGCCTATTATTTTTTAAAATCATCATATCTTGTGATACTAGTCATAAACGAATTCTTCAACTGTTAAGTCTCTCATAATGTCTTCCATTTTTCAATATTTATCTACTCCACTTTACAGTTTTGCACCCTCCACTAGTTTGCTTGAAGTGCAACAAAGGAAGAGGATTGGGCTGTTAGACCCTATGACAACAGGCTCCTGTCTGATTTCCTATTTTCTGCTAGGGATAATTCGCTTTTGGGGACAAGAAAATTGATTCCAAAATAGCAGATAAAGTTCTCCCATTATCTATGGGACCTGGGTGTCCTTAAGGGATCTAGCTGTAGTTGCACACTTCCACTGACAACTGGAAAAATGCTGTGTTTCATAATCACTGCTTTTCATCTTCTGACAAAACATCTTTCATAAAGCTATTTTCTTGAAGCTAATCGTTTTATTCTAATAAGTATTTGTCACCATTCATCAGTACTTCAAATCTTGTGAATTTTGCTTAATAAATGGGGTTGCTTTCTGGATACTGTATATGCTTCTGTTTCCTCATCTTATTCTAGTTATTAATGGATATGCAATTTTTAGAACATAAGTATGAGATTGTGAAGATTCTACAAGAAAAGCAGCATGTTGTCGGAATGACTGGAGATGGTGTCAATGATGCACCTGCTTTAAAGAAAGCAGATATTGGAATAGCAGTGGCAGATTCTACAGATGCAGCAAGGAGTGCTTCTGATATTGTCTTGACAGAGCCAGGTTTAAGTGTGATTGTCAGTGCTGTTTTAACCAGCCGAGCTATTTTCCAAAGGATGAAGAATTACACAGTTCAGTGCTAAACTTCTCTTCTTGAATTTATTTTTTCACCTATTTAATCTGTTTAAACACATTTAACCTAACAGGAACCATTGTTCGAAAAAACCCAATGTGTTTTGCCTTTCACTGCTAGTTTTGCAAGAAAGAGATGCTAATATTATGTCCTTGAAGGGCTAAACACTTTTCATTATTAGAAAGGGATGCTTTTAGCATTGTGGCAGCACTTGGTTTTGAGTGGCAAAGATCAAAAGCCCATAATGCCCTTCAGAGAACCACCAATGCACTTTCTCATACACTAATGCGTGGTGAATGTGTTTGTGTATGCCTTTGTTGAAATTCTTGCTCAACTAATGTTCCTGTATTTATTTTGTTTATTATGAATATGCAGATTTATGCTGTCTCCATTACTATTCGGATTGTGGTAAGCTGGAGTATCATCTAAATATGTTTCAATTTGATGTATATCATTTAAGTCAGAAGTACTTTTTAGTGCTTTGAATACCACAGTTAATAACCTTTTATATTGTTGCAGCTTGGTTTTATGCTTCTGGCTCTGATATGGGAATACGACTTCCCGCCTTTTATGGTTCTGATAATAGCAATATTGAATGATGGTAATGATTTTTCCCCTATTTATGTAAAATTAAAAAATTAAGAAAGAAATTATTATATTTGCCCTAGTTTAGTATGGAGAGCTCATCTAGTTCACAGAAAGATAGGGAGAGAATATGCTCAAACATCCCAAAATAGTATTTTAGGTGGAAGTTTGAGACAGCTCCTTTTTGGTCACTTTTAGGAATGAGATTAACGGCGCCCTTTTTAAAATGAAAGTTAAACTATTAACCAGCATTTCATCAAAAACTTAAAATTGTAGAGAGAGAGGGGTAACTTCAATTGTTTGTTAGTTAACACATCCCTTCACATGTGACCTAACATTTTACACATAACTAAGCCAACACATGGGAACATTAAACTAGTGGGTTGCAAGACTCGAGAATGGGACCTTTTTGCCTTTGGTACCATGTTAAACCAATAAGCACCATTTCATTTTAAAACTTAAGCTTACAGAGAGAGGAGCAACTTAATTATTCATTAAGTAACAGTGAAAAATGTAATAAGAGGAAGAACTAGTCTTTATTTGACTTTGCTCTTTACTGGCTCTACAAAGAACAAGTTCCTACAGGTTCTATAGAAAGCCTTTGGTTTTCATTTTTAATTTTTCTACCACAATTTGTCCATATTATGGGTATCTGAAAGGCATTATAAATCAATTTAATTTGCTAGAGTCTAACTTGAAGTGATTCTAGTCAGTGTTAATTTTGGAATAAAGTAGTAAAATATCTCTTGGTATCCAAAGTAAAAATAAATAAACTTGAATTCCCAATAGACATTATCTTTACCTAGAATTTAGTATTAGAGAATTTATCAAAATTGTGCAGTTACGCTCTCCTTACGTTGGATTTGAAAATTCAGCTCTCTAATATAGAAATTGTGATGCTAGGCCTTCCAGGAATTAAATAAATTCTAAAATTTGTTTGCTTGTCTTTATGAACAGGAACTATTATGACTATTTCCCAAGACAGGGTCAAACCATCCCCAAAACCAGATAGTTGGAAGCTTAATGAAATATTTGCAACTGGCATTGTTATTGGCACTTATCTTGCCTTAGTCACTGTCTTGTTTTACTGGGCTGCTGGAAGCACTTCTTTCTTTGAGGTACCAGAGTCACTAAATTGTCTCTTTATTGCCATGTTTTGAAGAAAAGTCAAAAAGTTTAAGTTTTGAGTCTGTTTTCTGTGCCTCATGCTGCACTAACAAAATTAGTTATTTGGCACAGAACCATTTTGGTGTGAGGTCCCTCTCTGGAAATACAGAAGAAATCTCCTCAGCTATATATCTACAAGTCAGCATTATCAGTCAAGCTCTTATATTTGTAACCCGCAGTCAAAGTTGGTCATTTTTGGAGAGGCCTGGGGTTCTCCTTATGTGTGCATTTGTGGTTGCACAATTGGTAAGTAATATATAATTATGAAACGAACTCCAAAAATTAGGTGGTTGATGGTTCTTTTCCTTTTAAATGTTGAACTGTTTTAATGCATGTCCATAAATATGCCTTACTTATATGCTGCTTAATTGGATATGGAGTCTTTTGGACATCCAAATATGCTTAGGTCAAAATTGATTGTGAAAGAACCAAGCGAAGGAACGTAGTTGAGATTATTAACTGTCTTCTTCTTCCTCTTTAACTTTCCCCTCTTGCCTGTTGTGTAGGTTGCTACCCTGATTGCAGTCTATGCAAATATTAGCTTTGCTTCCATTAGTGGCATTGGATGGGGCTGGGCAGGGGTTATATGGCTATATAGTTTGATCTTCTACTTTCCTCTCGATATTATCAAGTTCGCCATCCGCTATGCTTTAAGTGGACAAGCCTGGAATCTACTTTTTGATAGGAAGGTTTGTGTTTTTCATTTTCATCATTTTGCTTTTATTTTTTTGGCGTGGAGTACTAGTTTTTGAGAGAATTTTCTTTCATGCTTTCTTTATCAGACGGCTTTCACCTCCAAAAAGGATTATGGGAAGGAAGATAGAGAAGCTAAATGGGTACTTTCCCAAAGAACTCTCCAAGGGTTAATGTCTGGAGAGTTTGAACTCAACGGAAGGAGGACTTCTCTAATAGCTGAACAGGCGAGAAGACGAGCTGAAATAGCTAGGTATGTTTTCTTCCATTACATTTTCTGGCCTCACGATTTTCTAGTGTAACTCATAGTTGGATGTTTTCCACTAAAACAACAGCAGTTTCTGGTGTTTTTCTAAGCGGCACATGACCTTTCTTCTTTGCAGGCTAGGAGAAATACACACGTTGAAAGGACATGTAGAATCTGTAGTGAGGCTAAAAAATTTGGATATGAGCTCGATTCAGGCAGCTCATACAGTTTGAGGCCTTGTGATGTAGAAGGACTGGACCGTCTTGTTGTTCTTGTACAATTTTCTACCGAAGATTAAACACTAACACCGGGCACAATTCATCACAAGCATGCCAAGTTGGTGATCGATGCAGATAATTCTGAGGTTACTTTTCTTTTTTGTTGCTTTGGAGTCACCAGAGCTTTAGGGTGCACCTGGAATGGGCCTTTTGCTAATAAATCATGCATTTCTTGGTATTTTTGACATTTTTAAATAGAGGACTGGACCAATTTTCTTGATTTTTTTAGAGATTAGTTTTCTGATTGCAAGGATATTTATGTAATCAGATGAATATTTCCGTTTTGATAATAAAGAAATCAATTTTTTATATGCCCCAAGTTTGCATCATACAAGTAAACAGCAGAAATTTGTCATAATGAGAGAGCGAGAGAGGACAAACAACTCTTTATCATACATGCAATTCTGAGGCAGGGGAAGTATTTACATACAAAAACACCACATGGCAACTTTATCATGATCTGAAGTTAAACAAGGCCAGACATTACATATAATACATCTCCTGCAGAAGCAATAAACATTCAAATGTGTTTTACGGCTCATGAGTCATGGCTGCATCGTATTGAAATCCAACAATCACCGTAAACTGCATTATTTGTGGGATCAGACTCATAAAGTGGACATCCGGATGGTTTTGTCCCTTCCAAGCCTTATGGAGTTTACATAATTTATGGGGCTGTGTGCTGAGATACCAGGGACTGCCAATCCTACCACCCTCAGCAATACTGCCAACCAACCTTCCTTGTACTCCACTCCGTACATGTAGCCCATCATGAAGCTCCTTAGCAGCTCCCAAACAGCATTTAGATGCTCTGGAATCAGGTACCAGATACCAAAATAATTTCTGTTTGGCTCCTCGTTAACTTTCTTTAAAAAGAACCCCAAAATATGTGTCAATGGAATATTTCTAACTTGTAGCAGAGGAATAAGAAATGGTTATATATATCAAACTTCCAGGTATTTTATATCAGGATATTTTGTCAACTTCATAAAGAATCATCTCCTGTCTGTTCTGTAATCCTAACACCCCCGATGCCCCCCCCCCCCCTTTTTTTTTCATTTATTCATTTTATTATTAAGATTGGTCATATTTCCAGCATAAAATCAAATCACGAATTTTGAAGCACCCTGACCCTAAAGTTCCAGCCTGTTCAGCAAAGTTGTAAAGTTCTTGCACACTTCTACAACTACTACTGCATTTCCTGATCTATTAACTAATTATATAGATTTCCAAATTCATATGGTATGCAAACATACTAAGATGTAATAGTAAATAGACAAAGTGAATGTAGTTCAAAACAGATGAGGGTAATCATGTAGTGGAAATGTAAAAAAATTGTTTAATATGTTTGAAAATAAGAAACAAAAAGAAGCAAGTACAAATTGGAAGATCAAAACACATACTTGTTCACTGTAGAGGCTATTATAGTACAGGCATGCCCCGAAATGCTTATACAGGAAGGTTCTGTTATCATAAGGCAACCTTGGCACAAGATCATTGCAATAGACCAATCTGAAGTACTTTGGGAGCGGATGGTCCAAATAGGCTTCCATGAACCTCCCCAACTGTCTGTTTCCAATTCTAGGTTGCCCATATGTGTACACGCCCAACAACCTTTCCATGAGTTCCCTCTCCTCATGCAGCACCAGTACAGTCACAAACAATATAGCAAGGGCCCCTCCCAAGCTATGGCCAGTGACTATGAACTTCGCAGCCTTCTGTTCATTAAGTAAGCTCTTCAGTTTACTTCTCACAGTGAAATATGCGCTCATCTCCACCATTTCTGTGATGGGTGTTTTCTCACCAGTCTTATTATCTACCTCTTTTTCTTGAAGAAGATTGTGGAAGGTGGAGGTATCGATCCTGCTGCCCAAACCCAAGGCTTCTAAGAAACCCATGTGGACCTTTCCCAATTTTGGCATCTCAAACCAAGAATAGTCAAAATCAGTACTCCAATCATCAGCATCAAATGGCTCTGTGCCCCGGAAACTGATTAGTACCAAATTTGCATCTTCCACCTTGTCGCATACTATGAAAACTTGGGTTGACTTCTCCTTCTGGTAATCTAATCCACACAAGCATAAGTGGTGTTCAAAGATTAATGAAGTCAAAGGAGAAAAAATAAAATAAAAGAGAGCAGAACAGATAAAGTTAAGAGCTGGACACTTCCAGCCGCTTTTAATGAATGTAGATATATCTCCAACTCATTTCTTACCATTCCAACAACTGTAGAAATCCACAAAATGCATCTGCTTAATTGTCAAAAGACACAATGCAAACAATTATAATACATTTTGGGAAGAAATTCATACTGATACAATGATTTCATAGTAAAGATCAACAAGCAAAGAGAAAAGCATGCCTGCCAATGGTGATCTACAATGTTCTCAACAACCTTCTCATTCTCATAGGCTAACTTAGAGGCCATCATGCAAAGGTCCATAAGATCCCGGTCTCCAAGTTCATACTGTAAAGTCCTCCCCGCAGAAGCCGCTCTAGTCTCGTATAGATCTATGCGCCCATCTAAATGCCCAATTGCACTTATGAAAGTTTCTGAGCCTCTTTCTGGCATTATCACCCTTACTGCTTCCTCAGCAATATAATTAACAAATCAAAATCACATTGCTACCCTTTTTACAAATCAATGCGAATATTCAGTGGAAACAACACATGATTTTTTGTTTTCATAAAGACAGAGGGAGGACCCAGATATACTATCTCGAAAACTTTTCAAAGCTCAGCCGAGACGAAATTTAAATACTTTGCAAATTAAATAATTGATAAACAATACCAGGTTGACAACCAAAACGCCGAAACAGGCACAAGCTTTTGCTTTAAGCCTAAAAACTATTACGATGACTTTTTCGGCTGTCTGAATTTAAAAGTAAACGCATAAAAGGCTATTTTATTCAGGGACTAAACTTTTTTTTTTTTTTTGGGGGGGGGGGGGGGGGGTGATGGATGTCAGAATAATTGACTCCTTTTCTGATTCTAAGGCATGATCGGTCATTCCTTCCCCTAACAGAAAAACTAGTAGAGTTTATAGCGACACATTTCAAGACCCAAGTAATGTTTTCAGTTATTAGCAAAACATCTACACGCAGAAACGCATATAAATGGTGGATAAGTACAATACTGAGCATAAAAGAAGAATTACCGCGGAGGAGGTTGTATAATAAACCGAGGAGGCTTCCATTGTCGGAGAGGAGATTGAGAAGGAACTCGAACAAGTAGCCAATCCACTCCATGGGCTTAGCAAACAGAGAGATTATTTTTCTGAATATGATAGACACAAATATCACCCAACGATGATCTGGCATCGCGCCTCTTCTGCCGCCCCACAACGCCTCCGAGACCACGCCATCGTCGGAGCCCTGGAGGAATTTAGAGGCGCTTGCTCTGTCGGCAAATAGCAAAAATCGGAAAAGGTCTCTGATTCCACCATTTTCGGGCCGAATAATCAGATACCTTGCACAGTGGTCAGGAGTTCCGCGTCTACCGCCACCCAACGACCCCTCAGCAACCACGTCTTCGTCGGAGCTCTCGAAGAATTTGGCGGCGCTTGCTCTGTTGCCTGTCAGTAAGAATCGGAAAAGATCTCTGATTCCACCCCTTTCAGGCCGAACAACCATATACCTTGAACTCGAACTTTCAGGAGAGATACCAGAATCATCACCTTCATTAGCCATTTTTGATTCAATCACGCTCTCTCTTCTCGCACTCCCCGCTGTCTGCGACTGCAACTACTCAATCATACACTACTGAAGGAAAACTCAGTGGACTGACACGGCATAAATGCAAGTGACTTTGACATGTCTTGAACTATACGTGATAGTCACCATGACATAAATATATCTGGTTCCGTTTTTCTTCAATTTTCACTCTTTTGTAATTTTAAAATCACAAACATAAAATTTTTATAATTTTATTTTCATTCTATTTTTATTTTCTGAAATTTCTTTAAAAAATAATGATCCAAAAACAACATATTAAACAGGTTTTACTTCTGTAAAATTAGAAATCACCACGCCAATCCAAGAAACAAAACATTTCCCGACTTTAGCATTTTCTTTTATATTCTTTCCCTCTTATTTTGTGTTAGAAATTTAGAAATGACTTAAAAGTAAGACTCAATTATTTTGACATGAATTGTTTTTGTTTTTTTTGGGGTTACAATTGACATGAATTGTTAGCTCAAACGTGAAGTTGAGAGCTAATAGTAAGAATCATTTTTCTCGTGAAACACATTGGACATGAAAGTCACATGTTAAGAAAGCTGCATTTTCATGCTTTGTAACAGAAAGGGTGGCATTTTTTAAGCCGCAACTTAGCTATAAGAGTCCCAAGTGCCCCAACCCAATTAACATCCATGTTACTTTAATTGCGTGTCCGGTGTTGATCCATTACTTCATTGGACCACAGTGGGCTCACACCCGCAAGCCTGCTTAGCCCATTATGGGCGCGAATTGGGTTGGGCTAGTTTTCCACGTTTCGCGGCAAAGCCCAATATGAAGACAAAGTGAAATTTACCCACTTCTAGCAGAAAATATTTGAACGTGGTTTAGCTGAGTAGCAAAAGCCAGCAAGGTGGTGGGCTTTTGGCCCTTTCATTACCCAAAACAAAAGCAAAAAAAAAAAAAAAAAAGAGAGAGCCAGCCAGGTGGACTTTAGACTTTCTGTCTCACCCCTCCTGTAGACCAAAGAACAAGTAGGAAATATCTGCTATTTGAATTGCCAAAAAGAAAATATGCATAGATATGTGTACTCTTTTGGGTAATCAATCAATACAGATTCTCATAAGAGCCCTACTGGAGAGAGGCTGAAGACTGGCTTAAAGCTATCTTCGTTTTAAACGTCTACCAATTTATATATTTTAGTAAATTTAAGTCATTTATTTCAATATAAGCGCTTTAAATTTTATTATATTATAATATCAATCCCGCATGATTTCCATTTTGCAGATAAGAATGTGCCATGGGATTTGGAGTTCACAGACCACCCAACCGGCCACCGACAACCTCCACATCCTGGAGTGGGGAGTCTTCCTCAAATATTATTAACATATTCGTATGTCTATATTTTATTTCATTTTGGGGAAATTGCGGTCTTCATGACGTGGCGGCCTTAACCAGCATCTGGTGGCTTCGCCCGCGTGACTGCCCAGCGGCACCCTGTTTTGTCAAACAAGACAATTTTTGGGGCCTGTCCTGGCAGTTGCTGTTCCTTAATTTAGTGACTAATAACATTAACCTTTTGTTTTTTTTCTCCGACCTTGTATTTCTGTTCAACCCCCTTCTTGACATGCATCTCCTACCTGCCGTGACACCTGTACATCATATCCTGCTGTCCTGATTGATTATTTATTTTGCACAATGAATTCACCGCCATCACCACGGGCAGATTTATATTGATAATAATAATTTTTTTTAATCAAAATAGTTTTTTAATAAATTATTTACTAAAATATGTTAAAATTTTTTACATTAAAAAAAATTAAGTTCTAAAAATTTGATTTATGTAAAAAAAAAATACCTATGTAAATTCTGTAATAGATACAAAATTCTTAATTTTCACGTACAAGAGTTTTTTTTACAAAAATTTGATTTTAATTGAACTAATTTCTTAATAAAAATTGAGTTTTCGCGACCCAATTTATCTATTGAAATCAAGTCTCGAGAAACAATTTTTTTTCTTAGAAATCAAATTCTTGAGACCCCTTTTTTCAACACCACAATTTTCATAATAAATAATCCAATAAAAACTTATTTTAATAACAAAAATTAATATGAATTTGCCTCACCGTTACCATCACCATCGCCGTCGCCATCGCTATCACTGTCAATTCTACGAGTTGTTGGTGATGGAGTGGATTAATGCCCTCCAATCAATTAAAAATACTTACTAATTAATGAAGAGATCCTACGCGGAATTTTGGAGGTCGTGTGTTTGGAGTTTTTGGCAATCAAAATTTACATGTGCAATTAGTTGAGATATTACAATTTACGCATGTTTGAATTACATTTTCATTCATTTTCAAAAGGATTATGATACGTATCAAGGCTCATGTTTGCTTAAAGCTGTGGTCTTTGGCGTCTGTTAATAACTAACGAGTCTTTCTCGTAATCGCTCTGAAGCCGACATATGGAGATACCCTCACTGAATTCCAATGATGGAAACCAGCTGGGAAGCCGAGTTAGAGAAATCGGAATTAGGTTAAAGACAAGGTAAATCCGATATGTTTAGGTGGGCACGCAAAGAAAGGAATCCCCTCTGCAATCTTGTGACCTAAGCGCGGGATCAAAAGTAAAAAGTGACCCTCTGCCAGTGCTGAGCTGTCTTACACACATTTGTTTTGGAACCTTCTCTTCAACTACTTGGTCAACAAAATCTACACAACTTCTATCAATGGAAAATTACAGAGCTTCTACTCTAACGTAAAGGCATTTCAAATGAATAAACAAGTGTGGACATTAGAGTCCAACTGGGTATCAACGCCCGTTCACAGCTTATGGGTTAGTCGTTTCCATTTGATTCGCACCGGTACACACAATGACAGCTCGTATTGAATCAAAATTATGTATTCACATCTTCTCACCATAGTTAATAATATACGGAACAGAGAGAAATTACGGTATTTATTGAATATGAATATGACATATTTTAATGAAAATTATGTTTAATTATTTGATAAAAACTATGAATTCATTAAGATTACTTTATATAAGAATATAATTTATTATAGATAATTTAAAAATATAGAATAAAAATATATTATTTTATTCATTTATTTAGTTTTATATAAATATATTTTTCATATATTAATCACAATTTTTTCAAAGATATATAATGATCTATAAATAAAATACATTAATATTATTTTTATATTAGTATATGATGTAAATAATTAATAAATAAAAAATCAAGTAAAGTTTTGTACAAGTGACGTACCAAGCTAATTTTAAAGTGAGTAAGTATATTAAAATTTAATATTGGATCTTGATTAAAAAACATCAATAATCAATAATAATAATCCAAAAGTATTATATCTTGTGAGTTAATGTTTTCATAAAACTCATAAGTAATACAATTTAAAAATTTACTAAAATTATTAAAATTAATAAATTTCATATCTCATTCTTCAAAGTTAAAAGATTTCTTTACTGTTATTGTATTTATTCTCATATACATAAGATTATCAAATATTTTTTGTGATAATTCTTTTCTTGTATAACTTTTAAGATGCTTAATTTCTTTCACATAATATAAAGTTATATAATGGATAAAATTTAAAATACATAGGTAATGTTTTGTATGTTGGAATCCTTTTTAGAGAATAGGAATATCAAAAAAATACGTTAGATAGGTATTTTGAAATATAAATTCTCGTTCTCTAGAGAACGAGTATTTCATCAAATGAAGAAATCCGGATTCCTTCACTAAAGTGATGGAATCCGGATTTCATCTCCTTATGGAATTCTTATTTAGGTATTAATTACTATATTACCCTTTATTTTTCAGTGAATAACGAAAATATCCTATAGATATAAAAAATTATAAGTATTTATAATATTATATATTAATATATTATATTACACTATAATAAATTGTATAATATGATATATTATATTATTTATTATATTTATATAATATATATAACTTATTATATATATGCACACAACTACACGTATATATGAATTTAATATTTTTAATATTAGAAAAAATATAAATTTTAAATTTTTTAAAATACATTTAAAATATATATAAAAGTTATTTTTTTATTTTTTATTTTTTATAACAAAGGGTATTTTTATCTTTGAACATTTTTTTGTTTATTTTTCTATTTTTGTTCTAAAATATCAAACATAATAATAGAATATGAATTCTTGTTCTATCAGCTTGCACTAAATATATTCATAAGAATCCTGATTCCATTATCATTCCATCAAAAATCATTTCATTATACCATACGTCACTATACTCTTTTAATATTAACAAAGAATCTTTACAATAATCTTATCAAACTCCTATAAAAATGAAATATAATTATGTACGGAAAAAACATAATTCAAGCAGAATTTGTGTACATATATTTGTATCGTAAAATATATCTATTTTACTAGATTTTATATAAAAAGACGAGAATAGATAATTTTTTTAAAAATTATATATGATAAAATATTATTCAAATACGATATGTGTTTCTATTAACTAAACTTTCAGCATTAAGAAACTAATTTCAAACTAAGCAATTAAGGGTTTCTCGTGGACTGCCATTACATTGGCAAAAGCAGCGGTCAAAGAGGTGTTTGTTCATCTTGCACTTGGGAAGAGAGAAGTCCATTTCTTAAAGAACAACCCTTCACCTAATCCTCGATGGGGCTGTATGCCCAATTCAAAGGAATTAGAAACGGGTGGTGGCAGGGGGCCATCTTTTTGTTGGACACTCTGTCCTCCAAGGCAAAACGTGACGAGGAGCTAGGTTCATGTCTTATCTTCCAACTACCAGATAACAACTTGACTTTTGTCGAGACCAGGGGGAGAGCATATAGGAACACATGCTAACATGGTATTACACCGGAGAAGATTGTATGCTCCGTTGCCTGACTCCGACTGGTACGGTTGAATGGACATGTGGCCCGGTACAAGGATTGCAACTTTAATGAGCTACGCTTGATTAAATTTTGTTTGAATTTAACCTAAATTAATTTGAGTTGCTCAGACGTAATTATATTAGAGAATAAACATAATTAATTTTAGTAATGGGTGGGATTAATTTGATTATTTTTCCTTCGTAATTAATTCATTTTTTTTTTTTTTTTTTTGTTATCTCCTTCTGTAACCTGTATATAAATTCATATAAAAACTGACATGTAATAATGTAATATATATTTTGTTAATTTTCACCTATCCCAACAAACTTAACTAATATAAAATGTCATTCAGCCTACTTTAATTAAAATAAAGTTAAATTAAGTTTAAACAATTTTATCTTAATTTAAATTTGTATTGGGATATATTCTAACCCGTGGAGATTATACCAAATATTAAATCAAAATATGTTTTCAATATCCATTTTAAAGCAGTAGGCAACAACTATTGAAGACTTAAATTAACTAATTGCGTATTTTAAAATTTTGATTATAAAATAAACTTAAGCAACCCTTAATCCAAAGTATACAATAAATAGTTAGTTTAAATAAAGGGAATTAGAGAGGAGCCAAAGCCAACCAACTTGGTTTGACCATTTAAGAGAGAGAAACAGAATCTGATAAATGGAAAGTTATTGGGATGCAAGAAACTAAGGCACTTTAAAATAATTTAAGCAAGCTTCAATCAATGAAGCAATTATCCATTTAATCGGATTCACACATACAATCAATCGAGCCCTCGAAAAGTCGTGAGCACGTATTATTGTATTTGAATACCCAACAAGGAAGCAAAAGAAAAACTCTGAGAAAAGGTCGTCTTCAACAACCACTGGCTTTGACAGCGACCGGCTTTCTATTCAATTCTAACATCGAATTGGCCAGCTTCTCCCTTCTGACCCTGTTCAATCAATCTACGCGGTTTGTACACCCAAATCACCAAATTAAGAGTTAATGAAGCTTCTGTAAATTATCAGGGCAACGTTAATTAACTGAGTTATTATGCTTTTAATTAATCGAATAAACCAAACAATCTAAGTTCAGTTTTTCATAATAAAAAAGGTTTCACGGTCATTTTAGAGTTTTCAGGACACAGTATACTGTCTCGCTATGTCATGTCAGTCTGTAGACGTAAACAAAATTGACGCGGCGGCGTGTGACTATCCCTTGTACGGGGGCACAGTGATGCCTGCCGTCGGCAGTTAAAGCCGTAGCATGTCAGTAATTTTCTCTTAACAGAATTATAAATTTTTTTACTTTTTTTAAAAGTAAAAATTTCTCGACAAAAGCAGTGCCAGAAAGAGAATAACTGGGAGAAGTACTAAACACGATACTGCCGAGTCAAAAAAATCAAAATCCGAGTTTTTCCCGTATTATTATTTCATAAAAGCAAATAATTTAAAATGCTGAAGGCGATAAAAAAACACTTAATGCAACTATCTGCACCCTATTTTATATATATATATTATATATGTTTGTTTGTGTGTGTGGGCGCGGAGAAGGCTTACTTTTTCTAAGGCTTCGGATTCTTCGATCAGATCATGCCTGCCAGCTTTGCTTGGCAATGGATATGAGTGCTCGAAGAATAAATCGAGTTTAGTTAGGAATAGAGGTAGAACGTGCAATTATGCACACCAGAATTTGCTTTTAATAATATAAAAATAAGGAAATTAGTGAAGAAAACTGTTGTTTGAGCTGCCTTTTGTCTCTGAAGAATGGACGGACGGAGACAGATGTGGAAGATGAGGGAGGTGGCGGTGGTGTTCGTTATCGGCATTCTTGTTTTGGGGCGAGCTCCATCAATGGCGCCACAGATCCGTCTGATGGTGAGCATTTACACCTTCACAACAAGCTCAAATATACTTCTCTTTCTCGACTTCTTATGATTTCAAATTTAGAGTACATGTGTGTATATCTGCTCTCTCTCTCTCTCTCTCTTCTTAGATTCGTTGGAAATGTGTTTATAATTTTCTCTTGTTTTCGGACAAAACCGGATGTTTGTCTTAGATTGAAGGATAATACGCAATATGTAAATGCATTTAAATGCCGATTTTCTGTTCCGCAATCCCGATTCGAGGGAGGTTCTCTTTTAATTTTTCTGGTATGCATTTAGTGATGCGAGCTCTGGTTTTAGTTCTAAACGGAGCATGAGCTTAAATACCACAAGATTCGAAATATCAAGGATGCTACTCTGTTTTTGTTTCGCTGGCTAGCTTGTTTATGTATTCCTGTTTTGGGAGTTTTTGTACTCGGCTTGATGATTTGTTGTCGGTGGGTGGCTGTGACTCGTGATAAATGTTGTTTTGCTCGACGTTTATGGATTTTTTGCCTTCCAAAGCTTCAAATCAGTAATTAGATTCTGAAATTCACTCAAGCTAGTGGAGTATTAGGGCAGACTCTGGACCTCAATTAATGTACAAAAAGGTACACTTGGCTGTATTCCTTTGCCTTATTTTAGACACCGTTGATCTTCTATTCAGAAAGCAATCAAATAAATTCAGCTGCTTGTAGTTTCCTCAAATCATGCGCATAATTGAGGTGTTGAAGGTTATTTTTCTCCAATCTCACACCAAAACTGCTCAACTTTGACATTCTCTCACATTCTCCATGGTGAAATTTGGACCTTCCTGGTGCATGGTGAATATGAGGCTAGACGAAAAAAGTATTGACGTTTTCTGTGTCTTGAAACTGATATAGTCTCCTGAGATTTTCATGATCTGAGGGCCATCCAAATTTAGTTGAACATTTGATGTTAGGATCTCTGTAAATTAAACTTGGAGTTTACGGATTTTCTTAGAAATGAATCAAATGTTTGATTTTATACAGCTTCAGCTCTCTCGGTCATGTTTACCGCACTAAATTCACCATCTCAGTTAACCAAATGGAGTGCAAACCCTGGTGATCCATGTGTGGAGTCTTGGAAAGGCATTACGTGCTCAGGCAACAGAGTCACAGAAATGTAATTTCTTTTTCCATTTTACTTCTCCTGCTTGTCTTCTTCTACAGATCTAATGTGGTTTGACCTTTAGCATATATTCTGATGTTTATTTCCTCTCAGAAAATTGTCTGGTCTTGGACTTAGTGGGTCTTTGGGATATCAGCTTCAGAGTTTAACAGCAGTAAAAATTTTGTAAGATCAATAGCCTTCTAAGAGGATATGTTGATGTTTGCCATCTGTTTTTAGTAAGCTTGATGTGCTGATCTACAAAATCTGCAGTGACCTGAGCAATAATAATCTTGGAAATCAGATGCCTTATCAGCTTCCCCCAAAAGTGGAACAACTGTAAGCTTCATATCTGCATATTTTCCTTCTCTTTTATTCGTGCCACTTAAATTCCTTTTCATGATTTCATTGTCAATTCTCTTATAATGCAGAAATTTTGCTGGATGTGGCTTTAGTGGCAGTATCCCTTATTCCATATCTCAAATGACTTCCCTGAAAAACCTGTTAGTTGATATTCAAGTTTGCATTCTCTGTGTGTGTCTTTGTATAATAATCGAAGTTTTCATATCTTAACTATTTTTCCACTGCACTACCTTTAGGAATCTTGGTCATAACCAACTTCAGGGCAACCTGATTGACATGTTTGGGGCGCTCTCAGATCTCTCTACATTGTAAGTTCTCCCTCCAACCCCCCTTCCACCATGTGAATTATCTTAGTTCTGTGTGTTTTGATATGGTTCAAACATTACTGGGAGGATTTTATTTCATTGTGTTTACAAGACTGATTGATTTCAAAATTCTTATATATGGATTCCCAAACACTAAATGGTGGTCATCATTTCTCAGGTCATATTTGAGTGTCCTTTCCCCTACACATTCTCTGTTTTGGGACAAAATTGCTAGTGCTTCTTGCAGCAGCAATTTTATGTACTTTAAGAACTTTTTGGAGTTCTGGCTAATCCTAAAAAGAGGTGGATGTGGTGATTGGACGGTGGAGTAGACAAATATTATCTGTCTTGAGGAAAGTTAATCCAGAAAACAAAAGTCAAGAACGCAAGAGTTCATTGATATTTGGTGATTGCCTGGCATAATAATTAGCTATAATAAGAAAAACTCATCTTACATTATCATTTTACCCCTCAGCACATTATGGGCTTATACAATCACCCTATTTAAAAGACGTAATACAATGATTCTGTCAAACTCTCTCATTGTTATTTTCTCTCAACTTGACAAAATCGACACCCATGTATACTGTGCTTGTTTCTGAAACCAAGATTCTACTGAAATCTAGAAAATGCCATCAAGTGGGTTGGAATTCCACCATCAATGGGATGAATGATGCAACATTGCTGGTCTGCAGATGCAGCATACACCCGACCAAGAAATCTATCATTAAACAACTGTGGTTATTTGTTTTGCTTAAATGCTGTGACAGTAATCTATCTTAATTTTTCAGGGATCTCTCATTAAATTCTCTGACGGGTGATCTCCCAAAAAGTTTCAGTAATCTATCTAGTATGAACAACATGTAAGTAAGTTGGACACTATGCAAGTTGGTAGTTAATGGTTATTATGATATTTACTGGTCAATTTGTAATTGTGCAGGTATTTGCAAAACAACAAGTTCACGGGAACATTGATGTCCTTGCTAATCTTCCCCTTAAAATTCTGTAAGTGGTTATATATTACAACTCAAACAACTTATGTTTCGGTTTCCTATACACAACGTGTTATTTGGTTCTTGACACCAATTCATGTTTTTCAGGAATGTAAGAAAATAATAACTTCAATGGTTGGATTCTGACCAGTTGAAGGATATAAATCTCATGTAAGAATTTTACGTTGCGTTAATATAAATTCTTTGAAATTTCTTTGGAAGTAAATTCTACTCACTTAAGTATGAGATCTATGATTCAGGAAGGGAGGTAACTCATGGAGCTCAGGCCCTGCACCCCCACCTCCACCTGGCACTCCTCAGCTAACAGGGCCAACCGAAACCACAAGTCTGCTGGGAGTAATAATTCTTCTGATGGGGGTAAAAAATCAGGTCTAGGAGGTGGAGCTATCGCTGGAATAGTAATATCAATTTTAGTTGTCGGAGCAGTTGTAGCTTTCTTTATTGTAAAGAGAAGGTCGAAAAGGTCATCCGCAGATATAGAGAATCTTGGCAATCAGCCTTTTTCTCCTCTTGGTGCTAATGAGGTGCAAGGTACCAATGCTGCATAGACAGCATTTGAATTTTCTCCTATATTTTATTGATTTTGGCCATTACATATAAATTTCTTTTAATAGCACTCCCTAGAAAAGAAACCCGAAGGTTTTGTTTATGTTTCCATGTGCCATTAGGAACAGAGATATTCCATGCACTTAGCTTTAAAATTATCCTGATTAGGAATGAATTTGTGAGTCCTGTTCTGTGATCCATTAAGTTATAACAAATGAATGTATTGTAAGGAAAATGCTTGGCAAAATCAGAGAGTAAATTTTTCCTCAACCCACCCCTTTTAACTCTCTTCCTGATGTCAAAGAAAAAAGAACTAGAAAAAAAAAAAAGGAAAGAATGTCATCAACTTCTAATACGCAAGGCACAAACACCATTTTACTCTAGGAATGTTAATAGTTCATTAAGAAATATGAATATTTTTCTTGTGCTTCCTGTGTTCATGGAGGCTTGGACATTGAGATTAGATGAATTCATCACTTACGCATGTACCTTCATCCAAAACTTGATATACAGTCCAATATAACATGTATTAAATGACAGAGTGCATGAACTGAAAATTATCTTTTAGTGATGCCTTTTGGTATCGACCTTTGTATGCTGTGAAGATAGTTACTCAGTCCCTGTTCTTGGTTCTTAATGTTTCCATTTCCTCTATGCCCAGCAGAACATTGTTCATGTGGCTGCCCTAGTAGTGATTTTTCCAGATAAATGGCTAAACCAAGGATGCGACTTCCAAAATGTTAATGAATTGATCTCAACTCTTTGATACCGTGCACATGGGCTGCATGTTACGTACATGTTTTACTTATGCTGATGTACTTCAAATTAAATAGCTGATTATGCAATTCTTTGTTTGAACTGAGGTATTGTGAGGTGAATTTGAAAGGAATGTTTGTTTTATCTTATTATGGTTCCCTTTTGAGGAACTAAATCTAAAATTGTTTTTATAAAATTTATAAATAGCTTACTTCAAAGACTAATTTCCCCTTAACCTGGGGGAATTGTTTGAAGAAAATGTTATTTGTGTCGTGTCATTAGCAAGTAACTACATCAGCTATATCTTGACTGTGTCTGTGGCATGAATTTCTGCAGAGAGTAAAGTCCATCCAAAACTCAAACCCAATTGACACAAAAAAACATTTGACCCTCCAGCTTCCTTAAACCTAAGACCTCCACCTCTTGAACGACACAAATCATTTGATGAAGATGATTTCTCAAAGAAACCTGTCGTTACCAAGAAGGCCCTATACAACTCCAATAAAATGCTATATCATATTCAATAGCAGATCTGCAGATGGCTACAGACAGTTTTAGTGTTGAGAATCTTGTAGGCGAGGGGGTCCAATTGGACGTGTCTATCGGGCTCAGTTTGATGATGGAAAGGTATTTTCTAATGTTTAGCACTTGGAATTTCGTAATCTGTTGATGAAAGTATTTGTATTCATGACAGATAATTAAGCTTCTGTAAGGGGCAAATTTTGAGCAAGAATAGAGTGATTATTATAGTGGCTATTGTTTTTTATTAAGAAACATCTTTTAAACATACATGTTTTATTCTTTTACTTCTAAGATATTCATATTTATCCTATTCAACTCATCTCAAGTCAACCATGCCTTTTTGCAAGCCAAATAAGTTTAGTCACATAAATCCTATGTCTCTACTTAGGTTTACCAGTAGTTATAGTTGTAGTTGAAGCTCCATAAATTGTAGTCCTTACCTTTTCTTTCTTTTTTTTTTTCCTGCAATTATCTGATTCTCAAATCATCTCTATTGGAGTATGTATTGGGCTTTATTCTGCATCTCCAAAACATGTTAATCTAATATCTTCAAATCTTTAGCCTTTCCTGAATCAGAGACCTTATCTCTCCACTTTAATTACAACCATCTCACTATCCTCATTATCAGGTGCAATCATATTTTTCTTGATTGGCCTGTATAAAAGCAAAGGTGGACCTAATAGCAGTGAAATAAAATTCAAAACATAATGTAGGAAATAAATTCATTGAACTGGTTTCCATGTACTATATCATGCTCCCTCGCCTCTCTTTCTTTATTTATTGTCCTGAACATCCAATTTTGTTTCTTTCACGTTCTACAGATATCACCTTATCATCAAATGTTTTGTGTAATAATTCTGACTTGTTTTGGTCTTCTTTGGCAACATTGTAGGTCGTTGCTGTGAAGAAAATAAACTCATCTGCTCTTCCAAATCACTTGTCTGAAGATTTTGTGGATATAGTTTCAGACATCTCTCGATTGCATCACCCAAATATAACTGAGCTGGTTGGTTTACTGTTCAGAGCATGGACAGCATCTCCTGGTTTACGAATTCCATAAACAAGGTTCTCTACATGAGTACTTGCATCTCAAAGATGAATATAGTGAGCCATTAACATGGAACAGCCGTGTCAAGATTGCCTTAGGAACTGCACGTGCTTTAGAGTAAGTCTACAGCAAAAATTCAGATAGAAATTTATTTTAAATATTTCTAATTTAATGTTCGTGTGTGATAAGGTTCTTAATGGCTTTTATCCTACACCATATAATGGTATGCAATGCTAGTGCTGTGTTGAAGAATGATTTTTCTGCACATCAATTTTATTTCTCCATTTATTATTGTTGATGATAGGATGTTGCAGTTTGGCTGACAGTTTGGCCTCCTCTATTTGAAAGTCTCCTATGAAGGAGTAATAGTTTGTAACATAAGATATGGTATTCAAACATGCTGTTACACATGGTGATATATCTACATGAAAGATTTTTTTTCCCGATTTCAAGGGAACAAATGAACTTTCTGTTTAAATTACTCGAATTCCTGTTGGTCAGATTCATTTGCATTTTTCTGATGGTGCTGACCAGACACTTTTTTCAGGTATTTGCATGAAGTTTGTTCACCATCAGTTGTTCATAAAAATATCAAATCTGCCAACATACTGTTAGACATGGAGATGAATCCTCACTTGTCAGACTCTGGATTAGCAAGCTTCATCTCAGATGCAGATCAGGTATATCCTTGTCTCTTATGCCGCCTGTAATTTCTGAATATGGAAGAAATAGGAATACTTGCTTTGCATAGTATTTTCACTCTGCTACAATTAGCAGCCTCAGAGATACATGTGAAACTTGAACTTATTGCTATTATAATCCTTACTTTCCCTAGTAATGAGAACTCAACTTCCCAGATCAGGGCCAGCTGTGTATAACATTTAGATTGTATATCTGGTGACATTACAAAGCAGCACAATATTTTAATACAACTGGCAAAAACAGCATATCTGTATACTGGTGAAAATGTGATGCCCATGCACCCTCTTTGGAATTGGTGCTACTGCTCTGGAAAATCGAATATCAATGGCTTAGTTCCTTTCCGCTATGTAAATGGATGCACACATATGCACGTGCGCTCATGCATGCACGCACACAGACTGGGCATAACTGACAAGCATACATGGGTTTGTTTAGTGGTCGTTATTACTGGGAACAGTTTGTGAGTAGTGATTGTGAGTAACAAATTGTATATCAATGAGCTTCTTCTGTCAATGCAACTTGCATAAATGACTGCATCTACTAGGTCATGGAACCCCGAAGATTTCTCACTCTCCTAGCTTCAATCTATGCAGTTATGAATCTATTATTCTTTGGGGGCGCATAAAGTAAGTTTGTGTACTGTTTTCTTCTGTTTCCCAAATGGAGACTGGATTCTATTTTTTAACCATAACTCTGACAATTCCCTAGATCAAAAGGAAATTTGGATTATTTTTTTTGTGATTAGAAGCTATTAAAATATTCAGCTGTTTTCATGTTTCAATTATTGGGGAAGTCTTGAGGCTTTCAGTGCTGGTGTTCATGAGATTCAGAAGCTGACCCTTTCAAACCCTCCATCTTTTTCCCTTGGCTTTTGTGACTTGTGCAGGCACTGAACCATAACGCTGGGTCTGGCTACAGTGCTCCTGAGGTTGCCATGTCCGGTCAATATAACATGAAGAGTGATGTCTATAGTTTTGGAGTGGTCATGTTGGAACTTCTAACTGGGCGAAAACCATTTGATAGGTAATACTAACAGATGTTTGGTATCGGGGATTTTTGGCAGAGAATTGGTGCTTTAATGATGGACTTCTTGAAAACTATAAAGAACTAGATTTTGAGCATTTGCTAATTGACTTATTAAGGTAAAAGCCTTATCTACCAAAAATTCAAAAGCTTATTCTATTGAGATTTTGCAAAAGTACTCTCATAAAACATGGCTTTTGAGAAACAATCAATTCCAACTAGGCAAATATTAATGATCTATCTAATTTTTGTAAGTAATTTTTGACACAGTTCTAGACCCAGAACTGAGCAGTCATTGGTTCGATGGGCCACACCTCAGCTCCATGACATTGATGCTTTGTCTAAGATGGTTGATCCAGGACTTAAAGGGCTGTACCCAATTAAATCTCTTTCACGGTTTGCTGATGTCATTGCTCTTTGCGTGCAGGTAATTAGCATGAATTGCAGATTCACATTTTATGTCAAATAATGTTGCTTCTCTAATAAATTATACAATATTCTCATTTCCTTTAATTGTAATTTCTGAACCAGCCTGAGCCCGAATTTCGCCCGCCTATGTCAGAAGTGGTTCAGGCATTGGTTACACTCGTTCAACGAGCAAACATGAGTAAGAGAACAGTTGGAAATGAGCAAGGAGAACCCAGAAAAACTGACAACTGTGATACAAACCATGATTATATGTATTAGAGAAGCCATAATTCCTTCAACTCCTCTCTTAAACCAGAAGTCTTCCTTACTGTTTATACGCCCTCCTTGTTACCCGTACTTGCATGCATGCGCATTTTGGTTGTATAATGTGATCCTGAGAGTAAAGATATTGAAGATGAGTTGTAATGTTTACATTAGAGAAGTAGCCTTTATCTTTATGTATTCATTTGCCAAGTTTAAGATATTTTTTCGATTGGGTGCTTCATCACTAGATTCTAATTATTAATAACGACCTGCACCGTTGTTTAGTTACAATTTTTTTGCATGTTTCTATCGGCAATCAGCTAAAACAATGAAATGATTTACGGCAGTGGGAATGAATAGTTTAGCAACCTTCTGGGGGCCGAAGACACGCAATTCGCAAAAACAGCTAGACTGAATTTCTTTTTTCCTTCAGTAGAAAAAGTTTTGTTAAAGTGAACTTAAATTCCACCAACCATTTTTTTAAATGAAAAGAGACAGATCAAAAGCTGGTGCGAATTTTCAAATTCAACCAACAATTTTCCAAATGAGAAAAGAGGCAGATCAAAATGTTGCGTGGGTTTTTACCTAAAAATTTATTACTTTTAAATGATTGTAGTTTATTTCCATGTTCGTGCTCAGAGAAAACAATTTAAGTAATTATTTAAGACCAGAGTTGCTCCTTTTAAACCATATATATATATATATACATATATATAGAGAGAGAGAGAGAGAGAGAGAGAGGGTGGGGAATTAAGGGCAGAAGTGCAAGTCTAGGCTATAAATACATAAAATGCCCCAGGAAGCCACTAGGATTTCTGAGATATGCCTGTAAAATGTACCATGCAAGCTTTGGCAACGTATTTCTCTAGTGCACGCCACAAAGTTGAGAAATGAAACTCGGAACAGATTTTTCATTTATCTTGAAATGACGAGCAAAATAAAGCTTGCAAATCTCAATGTGGTCAAGATGTAAAGTAGACCATAATCGAACAGTGCAGCAGAACTTGCAATAAAAGAATCTCCCAATCATCACTTCAATATTCTGAAGGGGAAAAAGTAGCCAATGCAATTGGCAACCACTAAAATGGGCGACTGTAACCAAAGCAGCGCTAGGCATCGTCCAATCCCCTGCTGTATTTGTAGTTAAAGTGGATAGCCACAGAGGAAAGATATTATACAGCCCAATCAATTGTAAACCATATATTTTGGTGTAGCACTGAACTTCTGATATCCCTTGATAACTTTGTTCACAGCATCAAGGAAGTCTTTCTCTGTTACAGTTTTCCTCCGTGCTCTAATGGCATACATCCCTGCCTCCGTACATACACTCCTTATGTCAGCTCCTGGATAGAAAAAAAATTAAGTTGCTTTAGAGTTTTTGTCCACATACATATATCCTCAATTAAATGTAGTGCAATATCATTAAATGTATAATTAAACCTCCAAAACAAAAGTTTTAAAAAAAGCCTGAACCACCCAAGAGAGAGGAACCTCTTAGATAATAACAGGAGAGGGCACCCTGCAACTGATACCCCAGAAGCAAGCCACAGGTCAAACCATAAAGTCCGCACATGATAAGAGAAAATTCGGATTCATGCTGTCATCTTGATGTTACATAACCTCAACAACATTTATTTAACAGATAAAACAAGGCTTTTTGAGCGAATCACCCCAATGGAAAGGCCTTGCTTCAACTCATTCAAATCCCCTTATCCCGTCACCCAGGGCAAGACCATCCTATATGACACAAATAAAAGGGGTAAACTGAGGCTTTTGGAGCCCCACGAAAACAAATATTTAAATATATTCAAATCACCATAAAAATTATATTTTAATTAGCACTAGATATTTTCTCTGCAAAAGGGTAAACTTGCAATTAAAAGAAATAGTGCTTGAAACACCCATACTGAATGTAACCAGGGGGATAGCTATATAAAAATGATATAAATGATTGACTAACAAAGATATTGAATAAGTCAATTTTTGTTGGTAAAGACCGAGCCGAGTTAAGATAATAAAGATGCCAAATTATCTCCTTCCATACCACAATATTGATTCTTATGGATAGAAGTTTAACTCACCAGTGCAACTACTTATTAGTTCAGTTCACCATATAAATATATTAACTGCATTATTTGCCCGACAATAATAAGAGTAAAATGAAAACAAAATGCCTTTCAAAAGCATTGGTACCAGTGGAATTTGGGCAGAGGCGAGCCAAAAGCTCAAAACGAATATCCCTTTCACAGTTCATTGTACGTGTATGAATCCTAAAAATCTGTGCCTACTCTCCAAGTCTGGTAGCCCAAACTCAACTTTTCGATCTAACCTTCCAGGTCGCAACAGGGCTGGATCCAGAGTGTCTGGTCTGAAAACATGTACAACAAATGCTAAAACATAAGCAAGGTGAGACTGACCAAGTGATAAAAGAAACTTCATTTACTATAAAGAACTTCTTTTCTAATTCAGTACATGTCAATGAAGAAGTAAAAAAGTGCTTGACATAAATACTCCCCACTTGAAATAAAAATGATCATAATAACTACTGCAATTTTTTTTTTTTTTTTGGGGGGGGGGTGGGGTGGGGGAGAGGGTGGGTCTATATTGCATAAATAAAAAGCCAACAAACCGATTTGTTGCCATCAGAACTTTAATGTTTCCTCGGGCATCAAATCCATCAAGCTGATTCACAATTTCAAGCATTGTGCGCTGAACCTCATTGTCTCCACCAACCCCATCATCAAATCGTGCACCTCCTATGGCATCTACTTCATCAAAAAACACAATACAAGCCTTTTTGGATCGTGCCATCTGCCATAGTAGAAGAATAAATCAGATACTATGACCTCAAGATCAGTTCTGTTTTACCATTCTAATATGAAGAGCCAGTACCTGAAATAGTTCACGAACCATCCGAGCTCCCTCCCCAACATACTTCTGCACAAGCTCACTCCCAATGACACGAATGAAACATGCATCAGTTCTGTTAGCCACAGCTCTAGCCAAAAGTGTCTTGCCAGTACCAGGTGGACCATAGCACAGAACACCCTTAGGAGGATCAATTCCAAGCTTCACAAATTTTTCAGGATGAAGCATGGGCAGCTCAACAACCTGCAGCCCAGAATAAGTCATTTAAAAAATTCAATTAGAGTACAAGGTCATGCAGCTAAATTTAATTTGAAACCAAAGCTTATAAAATAATTCTTGTGTGCTGAGGACAGTACAAAAGGTATGGGGAACAACCAGCAATCTAGTAAATATATGTGCTCAAATGAATAACAAGAACTTGCCAACCTCTCTCATCTTCTCAATTTGCTCCTTACATCCACCAACATCATTGTACGTCACATCCGGTTTTTTCCTCCACAGTCATCATGGTCACACTTGGATCAATTTTTGGAGGTAGTGGAATCTGAATTTGATACTTGTTGCGATCAACTCTGCATCAATAAGAATGTGATAAATTTAACACAGTAACAAAAATGAAAAAGAAAAGAAATAAACTGCAAAAGGACAGAAGAAAGAACTAGGAGAAGTGACATAAAAATGATTAGCCATTACCAAGAAAACCAATAAATCTCCAGTGAAACATTATTACAACAACTGTTTCATGCTCTTTTTTTGAAAGATATTTTTTTGGGGTTGCAAAGAAGTGCCCATAGTACAACTCAACTTAAACCAAGCCCAACTGCGAGGGATTTGTTACAAGGATGCTCCTTTTCCATTCTACTCTACCGGTGTCACAGTTTCATTTAGGGTACAATTAATCATATCTTTATTTACTATTCCAACTTATTTTGGTCTTCCTCATTCCTACAGTCCAGTATAAAATTTAATTCTTTACTGTATTTTTAGAAGGTAGTACAATTATTTTGTATTAGGCAGTCCTAATAAAGATAGGACATCTACACCAAAATTATGTATTTTTTACTGTAAGACTTCATTATCTGAGAAAATTGTGCAAGGAAAATTTAAAAAAGAAAAAACAAAGTAATGCCTACGCAAAATGGCTATATGTAGTTTATGCTGTAGAATCAAGAAATAAATAAGTAAACCACATATCTGTGCAATACAAAGTGTAAGGCATTAAAAATTATGATAAGATTTTGCAAATGATGATTATAAAGAGCTTATTAGCTCAAAAATTTAATAAAGGATGCCAGGAAAGAACCTACCCAACACGCATGCCCTCTTCAATGTCAGTAGGGGAAACTTTATCACCCAGCCCAACAACAAACTGCATTTATTTAAGAAAAAGGATACTGTCAGACAAATATTCGTATGTATATCTCTATATATCGCTGTCCCTTTTGTTTCAATATGTAAAAGGTTGGACAAAACCTTTTCATGCAAAAAACATAGAATATCATGTAATTAGAAGAATATTCTATTTGTGGTGTGCTATATTAATACACTTCCTCAGCAACAACAAAACTAAGACTGCAATCCATGGATGTTCATAATATTAATGCTTAATTGCTAAATAATCAAGCTATTGCTGTAATGCGGCATTAGACAAATATTAAGACATGCAATAAACACAATTAGCGAAAGGATCTATGCATCACACTGCCATAGCTTTCCTAAATAAAGCATATGTTACTCAATTATTACTAGATTCCCAAAAATAAGAATAACAAATTGCCAACAACTGCCATTGGTCCTTCAAGCTCTTAAATTTAAAATCAAATAACACAGAAAGAATTTTAGCTGGATTTTAACACATTATATTACATAACTTTGGGGAACACATACACACAAGCACATGTAAATGAGTAAACAGATGAAATGGACCCTACAAGAAACAGACCTTTGCAATTTGCTTGACATTTATGACATATTTTGCATCTTCTGTATTTGGATTAATGATCTTTGTACACCTTGCCACCTGCTTTTACCAAAACCTTCAATAACTAAAACAATATATATGTATTTATATTGTCAATGTCAAAAAAAAGTTCAGTCACAACCACTAGATGAACCCACCTGCAAGGGCTGCTCCTCTGCATCATTTGCTTATCAGATACAAGATCCCATTGGCTAGGCGCAGCTAAGCAGTGTCAGACTCCTTGATACCTACAGTACATTTTAGCTAGAGCATATTCAGCCACAAAATTTATCAATCTCTATATAGACTGTAATCAGAAATAAAATAAATCTATTGTTGCAGTCAATATAAAGTCAAATGAAGGTAAAATAAATTAAGACAAATACAAAGTACAACATTATATGATCACCTCACGGAAAAAACCAGAACACTTTCTAAAAGACTTGAAGTAACAAATCAAAATTATTTTTCTAACTCAGAACAATATCAACATGGATTCAGGTGGATGCATAAATTAGGAATTTTTCTGCCAAAGAAACATGGAAAACTATTTATACTTTGACACAAGAAAATATACCGCATAAATCATTGACCTTCTTCGCCAATTCCTTAATTTCTCTCTCAACGATCTTTATGCTGACAGAATAGGGGCCCAAACCCTGCAAAAATCATTTGAGGCCAGTTAAATTGAAAATTAAATCTACATACCAAAAAGCCAATTTGATTGACGTCTAACGGCGTGAAGCATCTATTTGATATATATTAACTCATTTTCTTTAATAAAAATACATAACAAGCTTAAAAGGTTATAGTATCAACATGGAAAGATCATGCCATTCTGACAAACATAAAAATCCTACCACTGATGGAAATTCATAGATGACTTCAAGGCCTATTTTCAATGATAAACAGGAAATGCCAAATAATTAACATAACTATTCTGATTAACATCAGAAATAGAATGACAACCAAGAACGACAGAAACAATTCTTTAAAACTCTGATTAGCTGAATGACATTAATAGTAGTTCATCAACAAAACAACTTCCAAACCAAAGCTAAATAAAACATGTGACGGCTGGAGATCCTGAGGAACACTTTCGTTCTCCCGATTCGTTTCTATGCAAACAAAACTAGGATAAGAATAAAACAGAAAATGCAAAGAAAATGAAGACATGAAGTATCCACAACCAAGGAAGTCAGAATGCCGAAGAAATGAATTCCAGAATTAAAATTAGGGTTAGAAGATAGGCTGTACATAGGTTTTAGAAGAGCGATGTCGCCCTCGTCGAGAGGGCGGGGTTCGTCTCATCCTTGATCTCATCTTCGGGTTCAGGCGCCATCGATTCCTCTCCCGCCACTAACTGCTAGTTCTCCTCCTTCTCCTTAACAGTTCTTTTCTTGGGAAACAATCCAGCGAGAGCTCGAATGCAAGCAAGAACTTTTTCCGCTCCTCAACGAAGGGACTTTAAAGTACGCTGGACAAAATAATAAATACAAGAATAGTAATAATAATAATAAATAAACAAGTACATTAAAAGAAAGGGAGGGAGAGAGAGAACACAAACACCCACCCCCCCCCCCCCCCTCCCCGGAGGTTAGGGGGGAGGCGCGGAAAGCAAGAGAGGGAAGAGTTCACGTGATACGCACGTGCCCATCGACTTTCAACCACCCCTGGGCATTCTCATTTCGTTTGTACCGCTATGATCCACGGGCTTCTGTGAACTGCGATCCGGGATTTTAATTAACCAATCTAATACATCTAGAATTATATATATTTTATATCTATTGGAGGCTTAAATGGGCGGAAGAGGAGGAGAAGAGTCAGAATTAAATTTTTTATTTTTAAATAAAATTATAAAAATATTTTACCACTTAAATAAAATCTACATTGAGTCATGCTAATTTGAAAAAATAACAAAATATAACCGAGCATGATAAAATTTGTCAATCTAAATTGACATAATTTATCTTCCTTTTGATTATAGTAAAAACTGTTAATAAATTAAATAGAAATTTAAAATATTTAATATCAATTTAAAGTTTATCCAAATATGACAAATATAAGTAGTCAAAGAAATTTGAAATATTTTAGTATTTATTCAATTTCAAGACCAAAGAAGTTATGAATAAAATTATAAAAACAAAACAGAGACATAACTCTCTTACCTTCTTATTCGTAAACAAAAGTTAAATCAATCCACTAAAAATGTTCCAACTATTAATCTCTTCCAAAGTTTTCTCAAATTAACACCATGCTACGCATTGATTATAAGTGTCAAGAATGAAGAAGAAACAGGTGGCTAAAATTTACGCTTCATTGCTGCTAGTTAATCACAACCTTTCATATGCTCATGATTAGAGCTTGAAC